CAATTCTAGATAACCCATCATCTCAAAGCCAATAGAAGCATTGACGTTTCTGAGCAGTAGAAAAAGGCAAAGATAAAACTGAAATAAAATCCAAATAAGTAATGGTGAGAAATTCCAAATAATTACCTGCCGCTATCGAGTTCCATGGGCATCATCTCTGGTTTTTCTTTCCTTCTTCTTCTTTTGTGTTCCCCCATGCAAGGTGAAGGATTTTAACAAACTCACATCATGGCCATCATCACCCTGGCTTCACCTAATTGATTCGATTGTAAGCAACACCTGAGAAAGGGGGAAACAACCGTCGTGTGAAAGTTGGCCTGGCGGGCACGAAGAAAGAAGAGACAGCGAGAGAGAGAAGGTCACCTTGGTGTAAGAGGGGAGATCTGTAAAGCTTGAATCAGATCCGGGAGGAGGCTGGTGAAGTTGGGAGGCTGAGGCGGTCGTTCTGGGTTTTTTGGAGCTTAGATTCAGCCGAGTCGCAGCGGGATTGCTGGGTTTCGAGTGCTGAGTGCTGGGTTTCTGCTTAGGTCGCTCCAATCGCTCCAACCTTTCCATTAATAGCCATCGAAGACAACACGGGTAGGGGTAGAATTCACTCCTCCAGAGGCATCCCTGGACTCTGTTGCTTCCCTTATTCAGACACTCCCAACGTATCCAAAAATTCCTCGGCGGAATTCAAAGCCTCCGAGTCCTTGCTCACAGAGATTCCAGATCATGTACACCTTGTCGAGAACTTGGCCACCATGGTGGATTACGCGGCATCGTTGGAACACTTGAAAAGTGGGTAACAACTAATAATATAAGGGAGGTGGCGGAGGGATGGTGGAGAAGGGGAAGGCTACATGGAGCAGTCCGGCGAAGCTGGGATTCCGCCGAGGTTGGATCGACAGCCCAGAGATGGACGGGACAATGAGAGGAGGTATGTGAAAGCTAGGAGTCTTTTCTGTGAGATGGAAAATTGGGATTCCATCGAGAGGAGGAGAGGGATGGCGTGCTCCGTGCAAGAAGAAAGAAGATGAAGAAGAGTGATAGTGAAGGTTGCGTATGGAAAGGAGAAGCAAAAGTGAGTGGGGAATGCAGAGGTACATAGTAGCATCCGATGGACAAAGAGTAAATCGCAAGGTTTTTGGACGGCGAGTGGGGTAATAGGGATTGGAGGGTTTTGTGTGAGAGGAGAAGCAGGTCACGTGGACAAATGAAGGGCAAACGTTTGGGCCTCCACCAGTCGCAGAGGAGAGAGTGGGGGCCACTAATGAACAGTAGAGGCAACTAAGGCTTTTATATATTAATATGGCGGACAATGCAAGACACACCAAAACATATTCTTCTCCCTAAGATAACTTCTAAGTATGCTTCGGTTTCTTAAGCCTAGATTCTAAAGTGGTGATAGTTTTATCCTACGAAAAAATTTCCTGTAACTCTAGGGCCCGTTTAGTATTGTTGCTTGTTTTTGTTGTCTGTTTTGTTTTATGAAATTTGGAAAACCAAGAAAAAAAATCGTGTTTAGTTGGGTTTTTATTTTCTGCGGTGAATCAGAGTTGCACAACAAGGCCCAAATATGAGAAACAATAATTTATTGCTTTGGATCTGATTCTTAAACATGTTGCACTCGGGATTCCTACTGGTTGGGCACTTGATTTCATTAAACCAGACCACTTTTCGAATCCCCACAGAAGCAAAAAAATTCTTTTTTTTAACTCAGCCCCCCAAACCCTACTTCAACATATCACTATCAGCCGCCCCCTATACCATTTTCCATCTTCTTCTCGACGACAGAGGAGTTCACTTCCGAAGGTCGCCCTCGCCCAGCCTCCGGCGCGACCCCTCCGCCTCCGCCCGGCGACGCCTCGCCTCCGCCCAGCGCCGCCTCGCCTCCGCCCGCCGCAGCCCGCGCAGCCGCCCAGCCCGCCGACGTCCGCCCGCGCAACCGCCGCCGCCAGTCCGCCGGCCGCCGACCACTTCCCCTCCATAAACGCCTTACTCCATCTATTTTCTGGTTTTTAGTTCTTATAGTAGTAACTAAACACGTTTTTTTTTCTTCTTGTTTTCAGTTTTCATGATTTATCAGATTTATCAACTAAACAGGTTTGTGTTTTCTGTTTTTTTTCTGTTGTGGTTGTACATCTGTTTACACAACACCACTGCAACCACAACAGCAACAAAATGATACTAAACGGGGCCTAGGCTTGTTGAGGGTGGAAATATTCTTTACGGGAAGTGAACATTGTTCACGACTCTATCATAATTCTGGTCACCCGGTTTCGGGCTATCGTACGTATACCCTCGTCCTAAAAAGTCCCAACACAAAGTTGGTCAATCTAGGCGGATGAAGCGATTCATCTTTCAAGCTGGTGTCGTCAAATGCATTTTTTCCAAACATAAAGGTTAGCATACTCTGTCTAACTCTCTGCATCTGGATGCTGCTCTTTGGGGTGTCATAGCTATTGGTGTTTGGTTTTCCATAGTTGAATGAATGGCGAATCAAACTACCTAATCGGTAGGCTGCTTTTTGTAGCTCAATGGAGTATATTGCACTCCTTTAAGTTTTGATTCTGGAACGTATATGATGCATTTTAAAGGTGTGCAGCAGCAGCCTGAATAAGTTAGTTCTTGGGATTTTGGCAAGGGAAAAAGAAGTGGGGAATTGCATTTCTGAAAGCCAGGTGATAAGATAGGAAGGATATCAGTAACAATTGAGCCAAGTGCACGTTTGACTTGCCGGCTACCATTTAGATGGAGACCAAGAATACAGAAACTCAGAAGCTATTGCTTGATGCTACTGCCCGCGAATCGACAGTCATGTAGTAGTATTCAGTATCTCCAGCTACGTGTTCATGGAAGTGCAGAGATCGGCCGATGTCATGATGGTTCTCGCTGCAATGGCTGTCGGGGTTGATCCCCAGCAGAAGCTTGCAGGAGCGAGGACGTTTCCCGTCCTTGAATGCCATGATGAGCCTAGTATGTCTGTGTTTTTTCCCCTTCCCTTATCTTGTTGCCGTACCAGTGTTTCTGTGCGTGGGGATTATATAAAGGAGAATTTCGGTCATGGTGACACCAAACAAGAAAGGCCCTCTGGTTTGGTTTCTCGGATTTTTGGACGAAGGGAAGGAAACAGCATTCATTGTTGTTACGAGGCAACAAGGGAAAATGCAGATACAGTCGATGCCGATGTTGGACAAGAATGGGATTATCTTATCTCAGACAAGAACGAATGAAACAGAGGACTTTGTTTTCAGGTTCGGCGGGTTACTCGAATATTTGGGAAGTAGATCGTGATGGCTTTTTTGGCCTGAAGTGTCTCCCTTTTCTTGGCTGAGCTTATGGACGGTTTTGAAGAAGAATTGAAACGAGATTGGAATCTGAGGGTTTGAGGAGAATTAAGCTACAGATGGATTAGTCCGACAGCTATAAGCAGCATCACCAAGGCGGATGCAGAGGAGCATAGATAATGGAATCTAGTTTTTCCTAGATTCGCACCCTCCTCCAGATGGATCAGGAGGGTCCAGATAAGGTTGTCAAATGGGTTTAAACGGGTATATACTTTTCTCGCATGTTTTTCTAAACCAGCGTAAAGCGAGATACGAGTTGGTTGTGCTCCAATCGAACCACATCTTACTAAATCGGCATATAAATGCAGGTCGGTTGTGCTCCAATCAAACCATACCAATTTACTATACTTGTTTAGTAATTGGCCCACCCAATTATTAATTTGATCCATTTTTATATATTTATAAAATTCATGAAATTACTGATCGGATCGCATTATATTCGGTTAAGTATATTTCAATTAAAATGTTGGTTTAATTCGGTGCAGATCAAACGGTTCCACACTTTCAGCCTGATGTGTGTTGGTAAGTATATGGCTCAATCGATGAATATCCGACTAGTTTTGGCAAAAATCATGGCCGAGTTTATGGGCGGCCTGATAGGATGAAAACGAGCTTGCACTCTAGAATCGAGGAGAATTGAGCTACATATGGATCCTTCGACTCCAATAAGCATCATCACCAAGACTGATGCAGTGAATCATAGATATAGCAATATGAATTCCTAGATTCGCTCCCTAGTCCATATGGATCGGGAGGTTCGAATTAGACATATTCATATTGAGAGTAAGGATACCTCGATTTTTGAAATTATCATAATTTCAATGGTAATTATCCGAATTATATATTGAACAAACTATGATGTTTTGGCAGGCAGAGAACCCTATTACATTATGTAACATGTTAGAATGTTTTTTGCATCATCCCTTTTTTTTACCTAAAAAAGTCACAGATTTTCAAATCAACTATTTGTCCCAAAAACGGGGTAAGGTCAGCCCACTAATATTTAGTTCATATATAGTTTGTAGCCGTAGCGAAGGCAGATTTTGAATAGGAATTGATATGAAACATGATTTTTTTTTACAGTATCTCAAAATTAATGAAACTATAACCCCATAACCTCAACTCCACTCCACATTTGAGGCTTTCAGACTATTGGCACCACAGACCAAGTAAAAAAAAGTGTGGAAGCTTCCATAGAATGTGCTAAATGAGAGCTCTGTTTAGTATATCAATTCTTCCCCATCACATTCACATGTGGAGTACATGGATCGACCATTACTCCCATTTTAAAATTGCAATAGCTGATACCTTTTGACCTAATTCATTGTTTGAAAACCCATGGTATAGAAGAACATATAAATAACGAAAAGAAAACGTTCTTGCCCTCCTCTTCTTTCCTCTTCCTCGACCCCTCCACGTTGATTCCTGACACTTGCTTCACTTCACACTTTCCCTATATAAAACAACCCAAAAAAAACCCACCTCTCTCCCCACAATCCCTCTTCTTGAAACAATCCCATTTTCCATCACTCTGTAGCAACGAGAGAGCTACCTAATCCGCAACTCACCAAATTAGTAACCCTAACTTTTTTTTTTCTTCCTGAGTTCTAACATTTCCTACTACCGCCACTTCTCACAACAACCATGTATACCCTAACAAGCCACATAACAATGTGCCTCGTCGTCCTCGCCATCGTCGCACTCGCCGTCCCGGCCACATCCACCGCCGCCGCCGTCCACCGTCGACCAACCAAGCCCACATTTATCATTCAAGACGCCACCCTCTACAGCTTCAACCTCACCAAATCCAAAACGTTCCTCAACACCACCCTCCGGGTCACAATCTCGGCCCGCAACCCGAACCCTCGGGCCGGGATCGAGTACGACACGCTGGGCATATACGCTGCGTACCGCGACCAGCAAGTGACGAATTTCGCGGACCTCGTCCACGGCTACCTTGGGCCCAAAAAGGTGGTTACGTGGGCCCCTGCGCTGATGACGGGTGACGGGGAGGACGTGCCGGTCACACGGGCCCAGGCACGGGCTGTGGGCCGTGACTTGCGGGCTGGGCTCGTGGTGATGAATGTGACGGTGAACGGGAGGATGAGGTGGAAGGTTGGGTCGCGGCGGTCCAAGAAGTACTACCTGGCCGCGTACTGCCCGGCTTACCTGAGAGCTTCCGAGGGGAAAAGTGGCGGCGTCGGCGGGGGTGTTAAGTATCAGCTTGATCAAGGTTGCAGTGTTACGTTGTCGCCTTGATTGACTAATTGGTGTTTACCGGGTTGGTTTCTTTCTTTCTTTGTTGGACGTGTTAAACCAATTTGGCTTGTGGTTTTAGTTAATGATCACTTGTTCAATGATGGTTGTGGTGAAATATTATCGTTTCTGTTTTTGGATAATTTTGTTGTTTGTGATAGTTGTAATGGTCATGATAATTCGAGTTCATGTTAAAAAGATTTCAAGAAAGCAGCCTGCGAATAAAAAGTCGTATGTGTTTATGGTGTTTATAATTTTTTTTCAAATGATGAAAGTGCTAAAGTGTCACACGCCACTATAAAAGGAAAAAATTGAGGAAACAAATCAAAATACGTGAAAATCAATTGAAAGTACACAATATCTCGAAAAAACAAACATAATAAAAGAGGCCTTTGTGATTATCTATAAATCATATATATTATACGACCTAATTAAAAAATGATTTATGGTTAAAACAAATAATTTATCAAGAGCATTTTCAAAATGATGTGTTAAGTGACGTTATATTTCTTGAACTAAAGTTAGAGATTGATTTCCGAGGAGTGAAGATAGAGCCGATGAAAAATTTTGCCCATGTCTACAATAAATTCCTATATCTATTACAAATAGATTTCGATAGAAGATTGACACACATCATGTTCTTTATTAGGATAATTTAAGTTCTATTTAGCAAAATCTTCTTTTTTGTTATGATCTTGTTTCTTGAAGAAGTCTTAAAGTATGAACAACTTTATAGTACGTAATTTGTGACTCAGTAAGTTAGAAAATGAAAATATGCAGTAAGTTTGATTTAAGCAAACCATTAATAAGTTATTATTATTATTACTACTACTACGTACGGTATAGTAATTTGTAGTAAGTTTGATTTAAGCATATCAATATTGTAGTAAGTTCGATATCCTCTTTAGGCTAACTAATTGTTCCAAATTAATGCACAAATCACAACTTACAATAGACTAATAGGGAAAGAAAAAAGCCATTAATAACCCTAACTCGATCTCTCCTCTCGCTCGCCACCTTTCAGGATTTCACTTACTATACATTCGCACACTTCCTCTCTCTATATATAAAAACCAAACCCCTAAAACATCTCCCCAAGTCTCTCCCCCCGAAGCCACTCTTCTCCCGCACCATATAACCAACCGCACAACCCACAACCATGAAAGACGGCCGCGGCAGCCACAAGCTCTCCCACGTCATCGCCGACATGTCCGCCGCCAAAAGTTACACCCTAATCGCCCTCGCCGTCGTCACCATCCTCTCCCTCGCAATCCTCGCCACGTGGCTCGTCCTCCTCCCACAAAAGCCCACGTTCGCCCTCCAGGACGCCACCCTCTACGCCTTCAAGCTGACCAACTCCAACCTCTTCCTCACCACGACTTTCCAGGTCACGCTCTCGTCACGCAACCCGAACCGGCGGGTCGGGGTCGACTACACCCGCCTCGGGGTCTACGCCACGTACCGGAACCAGCAGATCACGAACTCCACCGTGCTCCCGCAGAGCTACCTCGGGACCAAGGACATGACGGTGTGGTCCCCGTTTTTGTCGGGTGTCGACGTGGCGATCTCGCCGAATTGGGTGGAAGGTGTCAGGCTCGACGTGGAGGCCGGAGATGTGATCGTGGACGTGAAGGTGTACGGGAGGTTGAGGTGGAAGGTCGGGTCGTGGCTGTCGGGGACGTATCATTTGGCGGTGAACTGTCCTGTGTATCTCAAGATGGCCGGACGAGCGGCGGAGGAGGGTGGTAACGGCGCCGGGGCCGGCGCCGGGGGAGGTGGTGGTGGTGATTGGGTTGCGGTTATTGGTGGTGTGAGGGGTGGGGTTAGGTATGATGAGCTTGATCAAGGTTGCAATGTTGTGGTGTCGACTTGATTGGTGTTTTAGGTTAGAGTTAGACTATGCCAATGCGGTAGGGTTTTTTTTTTAAATAATCTCTGTGTTTTGGTGTCATTTTAATTTCATTCGTGGTTACTTATTCCATTATCGTTTACACAGGGTGGATAGTTTTGTTACTTGTGACAAATACAATGTATACATGGTTTCAATATCGTGTGATTAAGACAGCGAAATTTGCATGATGTGATAGTGATCTGAGTATTGTTCATGGTTTTGTTGATTGCTTATCGGATGTTTATCCGAACTTTATTCTTATGATCAACAATTAAACATGTTCATCAAGTTAATGTAGAAGCCGGCAAACTGTATGTCATTTTACATTCTTTTGGACTGTCTTTAGATCAGATTCTTGGATATAGTCCCAAAAAGATTTAGATCAGTCCATCGGGAGTTCAGTTTAGAAAATTGATCACTATTACTACTCTTCAATAAACTCCGAGGCTCCAAACCATATCCCATTGATGGATTTAAAATTGTGGTATAAACAAAAGAAAGATCGTGATCATACTTATGCGTGTAGCTAAACTCTGTATGATCCATTTTTCTATGAAAGTATAGACTAAAAATTCCTGATAATTTATGAGTATAATAATTTATCCAAAGGCAACTTTGTAATGAGTAGGTCGGGAAAAGATGAAGTTCTTATTGCAAATAGAGTTGGCAGAATATACTACCATTAGCACACACCTGGCTCCTACCCTTTTGAGCTTACTGTTAGTCTGTTACAAAAGAAAGAACAAAGTTTAGTGGCTGTTCGTATTATTGTACATCCTACTCTTTAATGAAAAGACAGTGTAAAAGGAAGTCTCCATTGAGAGATTGGTACATTACTTTCATGTGCTATATGAATATTGCTCTAGGATTTCCGTGTTTTTGTACCATATATGTGGAGTCCACGCGCACATGAGACCAAACCCGCTAATCATGTGAGAGAGGAAAGTACTACTCATGATATACCTAGGGAACGTTATATTCATGACAGTAGTGTGATCATTTTTTTATGTATTGTTAGGTCAATTTACACGGTGGATATATACATTTACATCAATCAGCAAGTCAATCACTCAATTTTGGATCTTCGGAAGAAATTGGCTACTAAGATTTCCTCCTAAATGGTCCTAATTTCTGCGTCAACTTGCCCAAGTTACAACAAGGAAACCTGTATATCGTCAATTCTTCCTATCCATCGGGTACGAGTTAAAAAATAGAGTTGTTTTAGGTAATAGCTATGTTCAACTTCTTATTGTCTAATGATCTTTGATTTGAAACGTGTGGATCAAATTAAAATGGACTGCTCATGTTATTTCTTTAGAGTCTACATGGTCTTCACCTACAAACTGCGAGGAGAAATTAATCTGAATAGCTCTAAACTAGTTCTCTTTTTTTTTTTTGTAGAAAGACGGCCGACAAAGCGACCAAATCACATTAAAATAGACCGAGTTTGGGTGATACCCAATACATCAAAAGTAGTCCAGTGATAGAGATTCACGTCACTGACATCAAAAGAATGCGATCCAATATGTCCCTTATTAGCAAGAAAATCGGCGGCAACATTGCTCTAAACTAGTTCTATGTGACTGGAGTGAGTAAAAAAAACTACATTGATTGAGGGCTTGTCCGAGATTATTAGAGGACAGCCGGTCCATCACAACCTCGGCCCGCTTCCAGTCATCCTCGGCCCATCTCGCCACGTCGCCAGCACCAAATAATTGTGCTTTAACACATCATGTAACCCTAGCTGCTAGGAAAGAAGGGTTTATATGTTCATGTACGGCCATTGGCCAAATCATCAATCAATAACAGAAGCTAAAACCGGAGAGGATTCCTCTCCCGTGGACTAGTCCCGTACCAACGGGGATACCACGTAAACCGATCTTGTCGTTACGTTTCCGCACTAAATCTCGTTTTTCTCATGGTATCAGAGCTGTGAAGCTCGATTTCAGGATATCATCATGGCTGGTGACGATTCGTCCATCTTCACCGGCGAAGCCACACCCAAGTCCGCCGCCGATGGAGCTGGCGGTTCGAGTAGCCCTCGCCTCGATGTTTTCAGCCCTCTATTCATTCATCAATCGGATAGAACTGGCCATCTCCATGTCAGCAGTCCCCTGACACCCACAAACTACAGCGAGTGGGCTCTGGAGATGACCGACGCCCTTGTCACCAAGCACAAGCTTGGTTTCGTTGATGGTACGACTCCCCGCCCCGCTCCTGCGTCACCTGACCTTTCCCAATGGCTTCGTTGTGATGCACTTGTCAAGGGGTGGCTCTGTACCGCCATGGACGCTGAGATTCGCAACAGCGTCATGCACGCCAAAACAGCGCAAGAAATCTGGGAGGACCTCCGTGATCGGTTCAGCAAGGGCAATCTTACCCGTGCCTATGAGTTGCGCCGCAACGTCAGCTTTCTGCAACAAGAAAAATAGACGGTATCTAGCTTCTACACCAGTCTGCGTAAAATTTGGGAAGAAACCCAGGCCATACTTCCGTCGCCCTTGTGCTCCTGTGGTCGACGGGGTAAGGACCAGAATGAGAGCCTCCGCTTGCTCGATTTCCTCCTGGGCCTGGACGACTCCTTTGCCACTGTCCGGAGTCAAATTTTATCGATGACACCTGTTCCCTCTCTCCCGGAGGCCTTCCGGATCGTCCACAATGATGAGCAGCAGCGCTCCTTGACACAAAATCGGAAGACTACTCCCGAAGCGGCCGCTTTTGCCACAAGGAGTGAAGCTGATCGCTCCAACCCAACGCCACATGGAGATCATCGCGGCGACCAACGTGGTGATTCTCGCGGTGATCGTCGCGGCAACCGCGACTCGTCAACAGCTGCTCGTGATCGGTCCCATGGTGATCGTGAGCGCGTCTTCTGTACCCACTGCCAAAAGGGTGGTCATTTGCGCGAGACTTGCTACGAACTCGTGGGTGGCCCCCGCGTGATAAATCCGGAGATCGGGGGGATCGGGGATCTCACCGCCGTGACCGCGACAGCAGCAGACCTCGCGAGCCGCGCGCCTCTCAGGCAGAGTCGGCCCCTAGTCCCGTCGCCGGCTTCACTGTCCAGCAGCTCGAGCAGTTGAAGCAATTCTTTGGCAGCTCCTTTGCCGGGTCTCCTGACCCGGTCAGCAACATGGCTGGTATGTTTTCTTCCTCTGTTGATTCTGAATGGCTAATCGACTCAGGCTGCAATGAACATATCGCCATGAGTGAGTCTCTGCTTAGTTCTTATGCTCCTGGTATCCACAGTCAGCCGGTTCGTATTCCGAATGGTTCTAGTATCTCGGTTAAACGCATTGGCTCTGTGAAGTTTTCTACGGGTCTCAGTTTGGAACGTGTTCTCCATGTGCCTGAGTTTCGTTGCAACTTATTGTCTGTCAGCCGTTTATGTCAAGAACATCGTGTCGCATTAATCTTTATGGGTGATTTCTGCGTTATACAGGACTTAGTCTCGAAGAACGTGATTGGGAAGGGGGAGATCCGTGAAGGTCTCTATTATCTTCTCTTGTTTGGATGTCAGCAGGTTCGAGCTCATGCAGCAGCTAATCCGAGCGTCTTGCCCGAGAGTCTTCTTCATGCTCGGCTTGGTCATCCGTCCTTGCAGAAGATGGAATTGCTTCGCCATCGTTCCCTTTTCCAGTTCTCCTCAAACTGTTTGCCATTCATGCTCTCGTGCTAAGCAAGTTCGGACTCCTTTTCCCGTTAGCTCCATTCGTACGACTTCTTGTTTTGAATTATTACATATGGATATTTGGGGTGGTTATCATACTGCTTCTTTGAGTGGAGCACACTATTTCTTGACCATTGTTGATGATTATAGTCGTGGAGTTTGGGTTATCTCCTTCGTTTTAAATCTGAAGTTAGTCGATATGTTCAGCAGTTCTGTTAGTTTGTCTCTACACAGTTTGGTCGGCAGGTTAAGCGCATACAAGCGGACAATGGATTTGAGTTCCAATGTCATGATCTCCGCCGTTACTATGATCAACACGGCATCGTCCTCCAGACATCCTGCACCGATACGCCTCAGCAGAACGACGTCGTTGAACGGAAGCATCGCCATCTACTTGAGGTTGCCCGTGCTCTGCGTTTTCAGGCATCTTTGCCTATTCGGTTCTGGGGAGAATGCATCTTGACTGTTGCATACTTAATAAATCGCTTGCCCACTGCTGCTACTGGCACAACTCCTTTTGAGGTCCTCTTTGGCAAGCCGGCCTCGTACTCCCATCTACGGGTCTTTGGTTGTCTTGTCTACTGCAAAGACACCCACTCTGGATTGGACAAGTTCCAGGAACGGGGGAGAGCTTGTGTGTTTTTGGGATACGCCGCTACACAAAAGGGTTATCGGGCTTATGATCTCACTTCCCGCAAAATGATGACTAGCCTTGACGTCGTATTTCATGAGACGATTTTTCCCTTTTGTCCTAATATTTCTAATGATCTTACCTGGGTCTCCCCGCAGGTGTTCACTCGGCCTGCTTTTGAGGATGATGCAGACGAGTTGGTTGCTTCCCTTGTCTCTGGGCCTCCGCCCTCCCCGACCAGTCCGGCACACCTGTCACCCCCAGCTCGGCCTGCAGTGTCCCCTGACCAGCCCGCTTCCAGGCCCGTCCGCCTCGGCCCAGTCCCCAGCCCGAGCGGGCTCTTCGGCGGCCCAGTCTCCAGCCCCAGCGGGCTCTTCGGCGCGCGCTGGTCACTCTCCTGCTCGGCCCAGCCCCTCAGCCCATCCGGAGTCCCCAGCCCACACTACCTCGGCTGGCTCCTCCTCACCCGACGGCCCACCCCAACAGGCTGCTCAGGCTGCTCCAGCTCCCCGACGCAGTAACAGGCCTCATATCAAGCCTCGCCACTTGGATATATATTATACTGGCAGTGATGCCAATAACGTTCGGTATTCACTTTCTTCACATATTGCCTATGACCGTGTCACCCCTGCTTATCGTGCTTTTTTTGCAGCTGTGGCCTTGTCCACAGAACCTCGCACTTTTAAGCAGGCCATGCTTGATGAGCGTTGGCGTCAAGCCATGCGCGTCGAGGTTACAGCTCTCGAGAAGAATGGTACGTGGAGTCTCGTTCTTTTACCTCCCGGCAAGCGTGCCATTGACTGTAAGTGGGTTTACAAGATCAAGTTCCACCCAGATGGCACAGTTGAGCGCTACAAAGCGCGCCTTGTCGCCAAAGGCTACACTCAAATCGAAGGCGTCGACTTCCACGATACTTTTGCACCTGTGGCCAAGTTAGTCACTGTGCGTTGTTTGCTTGCTGTTGCTGTCAGCAAAGGGTGGTTCATCCACCAGTTGGACGTTAATAATGCCTTCCTCCACGGTGACTTGGATGAGGAGGTTTACATGCGGATTCCGCCCGGGTTTGCTGCTCCGGGGGAGACTCGTGTTTGTCGCCTTTACAAGTCTTTGTATGGCCTTCGTCAAGCCTCACGAAATTGGTACCACAAGTTCACTGCTGCCCTCTGTGAGTTTAAGTTTCGGCCATCTCCCGCCGATCATTCACTCTTCATCTACAATCAGGGAAGTACCTTTATTGTTGCTCTCATTTATGTCGATGATGTTCTTCTTGCTGGCAATGATCTCTCCTTTATTACACAGGTCAAAACTTTTCTTAACGATCGGTCCAGCATCAAGGATCTCGACAGTTTGCGCTACTTCTTGGGTATCGAAGCAGCTCGTTCTTCCCACTGCGTCATCCTCAGCCAACGCAAATATGTCTTAGACATATTGTCTGACGCCGGTGTTGCAGGTTGTCGGCCTAGTGCCTTTCCCGTCGAGCAAAACCATCATCTTACACGGACGGACAATTCTACTCTTCTTGAGGATCCTTCTGCTTACCGACGCCTTGTTGGTCGTCTTCTGTACCTGACGGTGACCCGCCCCGATATATCCTACGGGGTTAACATTCTCAGTCAGGCTGTTCATGCCCCTACCCATGCTCACATGGCTGCGGCACATTGGATCCTTCGGTATTTGAAAATTACTCCGGGTCAGGGTCTTTTCTTCCCTTCTAATGGGGATCTCCGACTTACAGCATATCTTGTGATGCTGATTGGGGTGGTTGTGAATCCACTCGTCGATCGACCACTGGTTATTTCATTACTCTGGGTGGTGCTCCCATATCTTGGCGCATGAAGAAACAGCAGGTGGTTGCCCGTTCTTCTGCCGAGGTCGAGTATCGCGCCATGGCTAGCACAGTTAGTGAGCTCATCTGGCTCCGTTGGTTGCTTTGTGAGCTTGGTGTCCCCCAGTCTGGTCCTACTCCGTTGTACTGCGACAATCAGGCAGCTTTACATATCACTGCCAATCCGGTTTTTCACGAGCGCACGAAACATGTCGAGATGGACTGCTACTTTGTTCGGGAACGTGTTCAGTCCCAAGACATCACTCCTCTCAAGGTTTCTTCCCAGCTGCAGCTGGCTGATCTATTCACTAAAGGTCTTGGTGCTGACCGCTTTCATTTTCTACTGTCCAAGCTGGGCGTTCGTAACCTTCACGCTCCAACTTGCGGGGGAGTATTAGAGGACAGCCGGCCCATCACAACCTCGGCCCGCTTCCAGTCATTCTCGGCCCATCTCGCCACGTCGCCAGCACCAAATAATTGTGCTTTAGCACATCATGTAACCCTAGCTGCTAGGAAAGAAGGGTTTATATGTTCATGTACGGCCATTGGCCAAATCATCCATCAATAACAAAAGCTGAAACCGGAGAGGATTCCTCTCCCGTGGACTAGTCCCGTACCAACGGGGATACCACGTAAACCGATCTTGTCGTTACGTTTCCGCACTAAATCTCGTTTTTTTCAGAGATCAACTCCAAGTTTAGTGACCACTTATATAATTCACCAGACACATAATTGCATAAGTTGATACCCTTCCAAGGCTAATTAATGGTCTGAAACAAATCCACAATAAAGAAATGGAGAGCAAAAGCTATCATTCACCCCATTCTTTCCAACTCCTTCCATTGACTTGCTTTCACTTGACACTCTCTCTTTCTCTACTATATAAAAACAACCCAAAAAGCTCCTCTTTCTTCCCCAAATCCCTCTCTTTCCAAAAATCCCCTTCTCTCCAAAACTAGCCATCAACAATGTGCAAGAAAGAGTGCGGCCACGACTCCGACGACGGCGAAGACAACAAATCCGCCGCAATGAGGTACGTCATTATGGCCGCCGTGGCCCTGGTCATCATAGGCCTGACCGTCCTAATCATGTGGGCCGTCCTCCGGCCCAAAAAGCCCACATTCCTCCTCCAGGACGCCACGCTCTACGCCTTCAACCTAACCAACTCCAACCTCTTCCTCACCACCACGCTCCAGGTCACGCTCTCGTCACGCAACCCGAACCGGCGGGTCGGGGTCGACTACACCCGCCTCGGGATCTACGCATCGTACCGCAACCAGCAGATCACGCTGGCCACGGAGCTTCCCCAGGGGTACCTGGGGACCAAGGACGTGACCATGTGGTCCCCGTTTCTGTACGGGGAGACCGTGCCGGTCTCCCCGAACCTGGTCCAAGCTGTGGGCCAGGATCTGGCCGCCGGGGTCGTGATAGTGAACGTGAAGGTGTACGGGAGGGTGAGGTGGAAAGTTGGGTCGTGGCTTTCGGGGAAGTACCACCTGGCGGTGAACTGTCCGGCGTATCTCAGATCTGCGGCCGGCGGTGGAGGCGGAGGAGGATTGGTTGCTGTCGGCGGGGGAGCGGGGGTGAAGTATCAGTTTGATCATGGTTGTAACGTTGAAGTGTCGGCTTGATTGATTTATTAATTTAGTTCTTTTTTCTCTCTTTTTTTTTAGTTTCCGTAGTTGATCTCATAAAATCTCGTTTAATTCGCTTCTTACCGTCTCGTTTTTCACTTTTTGGATAATATATTTTTAGCAATTACAGTTGAAATGTTGATAATTCTTATATAACATTTTGTTATCCCACAAATAACTGTATAATTCAATTAATAAGGTACGAATTGTTATTTAGATGATTCTAACGCGAAATTTCTCACTGTGTTTAACTGTGGTAAAAAAATCAATACCGTATACCAATATTACGATTTATGTTCGCACAAAGTAATAATTAATTAAGGTTTTTTTAACGGACTAATTAAGGTTGTAGTAGTGATTAGTGAAGCAAACCACGTGGAAATGGGGCAATGTGGATCGGGAACATAGCCGTTCTACTTGGGTCGTTGACTAGGGCCCATTTATCTATGATAATATTTAATTTAATGTAATTCGATGAGTGAACCAAAGCAAATCAATAACACTTCAGATTCTTGGGGAAACAGGATTAATTCTTTTTTTTATATTTTGCAAGTAAATAAATATATGGGTCACGTTAGTCGAGAAGAATTCGAAGAGCATACTTTTTGGATCATGTTTCACCATACCACGGCACCCACTATGGCAATTAATTGACACAGGTTCTTGATTCTCCCAAACCCCTAACCTGTTCAAAATCCACCGACGACGTTTCTTGAAACAGAATCCGTTATAACAAGAAAATGGGCTCGGTGAATCTCACCTGTTACAGATTTTATGGGCTCTGATAGCATTAGCATGTTGGGCTCGGTTACGGGCCCGCTCATCAGACATCAGAACTAGGCCTGCTTCCTTTTGCAGTCACATTTCTTTCTTGCCAACTTTATTTTGTTCATATATGCTTTCATGAACATTTTCCACTTCACTGTTAACAACATTGCGCATAGCCATGGTTTGTCAGACCAATTTATTGTTGGCAGGTTGAATTGGCTCTTACTAGTTACTAGTATCGTGTACCAAATCGACTGGAAGACTTCCGGTTTGCGATGATTTTCAAATTCGTTGAATCTAGTAGGTCTGACCGGAATGTTGTGCAGAAACATGCGGAGCAAAATTGAATTTGATGATACTCACTAGTGTTCAATCTAGGAATTACAAATTTAAATTTCTTAAATAATATTTAACAAAATCTACAAACTTATATCACTTTTATTAAAAAAAAAATTATATCCATTTAATCGTCAAAATTCTAATGAGATCGAGTGCATTAGTTTCCCTATATCTCCTGAACATAAACAAGTAAACTTCACACCAAAAGTAATCACATAATAACTTTTTCCAAGCATGCAGATTGTGGCTAAGGCCACTCAAAGACCTAGCTAGCTTTGGAACTCGTATTGCCACCGCCATTCATTCCCATTAACCATTGGAGGGGTTCTTCCTCCCTCTCTCTCTCTCTTCTCTGTTTCTCTCTGCCTGCCTGTCTTTCTATCTTCCCCACTCTTAAATCTTCCTAAATCCACAATAGTTAGCACTAACCAAGTACAGCAAGCTTTAAGAAAAAGGAGAATTCAGAGGGTTGATCAGAGCAAGATAGCTAAGAAGCGGGGAAGCGAACTTCCTGATAGAAGAAATGGGTATCCCTTCCTTTTACAAATGGCTAGTGAGCAGATACCCAAACATCATCGTCAAAGCCCTGCCTCCACAAGACCAAGAACACAACAGCTTGCTACTCCCAAACCCAAATGGATTCGAGTTCGATAACCTCTATCTCGACATGAACGCAATCATCCACCCTTGCTTCCACCCCGAAGACCCTTCAAACGTGAGCTCCCACTAATCCTTGTTTCATCCGGATTTCTCCAAAAAGGGCAGAGTACTCTGTTTTAGTTCTTGTTTTTGGTTCATTTCCTCACATCCTCTGTTTTGCTCTGTAGCCAATTCAGCCGACAACCTTCGACCAAGTCTACAGCCCGATGTTCGACTACATCGATCACTTGTTCAGCATCGTGCGGCCGAGGAAGCTCTTGTTCATGGCTGATGATGGAGTAGGTCCACGTGCAAAGATGAATCAGCAGCGGGGCAGACGATATCGATCAGCCAGAGATAACGAGATTGCGGTTAGTGTACATCATAAAGATTCGATCTTTTTTTGTTTTTGTTTCTTTGTATGCAAATGGATGTAACAAAAATTTTATGATTGTAGGAAGAGATGGAGAACTGCTTAAGAAAGCAATTTGAGGCGGCAGGCAAACAACTCCTTCCGAATTCTGAGTCTGAATTGTTGGACTCAAGCATCATAACCCCTGGAACAGAGTTCATGTTCGAGCTGTCGAAGAAGCTTCAGCAGTACGTTACATCCCGAATGGAGACAAGTCCTGCCTGGAAGGAGATCAAAGTTGTTCTCTCTGATGCAAATGTACCGGGCGAGGGGAAGCATAAGGTCATGTCGTTCATTCGACAGCAACGTAGTCTCGCTGAGTACAACCCGAATACACGACATTGCCTCTATGGCCTGGTATCGAAATAAGCAGCAGTAACCCTAACTATGTATTTCATTAATTTGGTTTCGTATTAATTTGTGCATGTGCCGTATGATTCATGTTGATGTGCGTAACAGGATGCTGATTTGATCATTCTGGCTCTAGCAACACATGAAGTCCACTTCTCGATACTGCGAGAGGTGATTCGAATAGTCTTGTTGGTGTTTCGGATTCTTTCTTATATCTAGTTTAGAAGACTACATAGGGGGTGTCTTGGTCAATTTTTTGTTTGTACAGGATGTTGGTGTTCGAGAAGAGCAACCGATGTGTTTATCTGCTTCGAAGAGTAGCCTTTCCACGGTGGAGACGAAATCATTTAAGTCGAGAGGAGGGTTCAAAGATGTGAAAGTTGTAGAAGAACAAGCAATTACTGAAAAGCCTGCATCTTTCATCAGGAAGGCACATCAGGTTACATCACAATTGATGTTTTACGTGTTTGCCAAGCAACATATGGTTATGAACTCTTTTAGTCTTTCCATCTGCTAACTCTCTTCAGTTTCACATTTTGCAGTTCCTCCATATTTGGATTCTGAGGGAGTACTTAGAGGTTGACATGAGAATCCCTGATCCTCCCGAGAATTTCAAATATGATGTAGACCGAGTCGTTGACGATTTCGTGTTCATCTGCTCTTTTCTGGGGAATGATTTTCTTCCTCACATGCCTACCCTGGAGGCACATGAGGTTGTGATCTATTGATCATAAGGGAGTACTTTTTTGAATTCAAACCTCGAGCATGTAAAAATGTTTTAAGAGTACCTTGTGATGGCATTTTCTAGGGCGCCCTTGATCTCTTGATGACTGTTTACAAGGAGCATTTCAGAATTCTGGGTGGCTACTTGGTGGACATGCAAAGAGTAAACTTTGAACTTTGAAGCATTGTATCTGATGATAATCAAGCTGTTGCTTCAGTATATTCTAAATGAGAGATATGTTTTGACCTTCTGAATCAGGTTCAAGACTCTAACAGTGCATTTATCGAGCTGAAAAGAGTGGAGAAGTTCATCCTGGAGGTTGGGAAATTTGAGGACAAGATTTTCAACAAAAGATCGCAACTTCGAGATCAAAAGATTAAGCAGATTGCTGCTTATGCAGTTGCAGTAAGCCATAACTTTTCATATTAAGTCCTCTCAATTCCTATGTTGATCATAACTGCCTCCTTTAACTTTGAATCTCCAGGAGAATGAAGACTTGCTGCCTGAGATATTGAAGGATCGGAGCTCAACTTCCATTGGAATCTCCTCATCTTCTGAAGCCCAAGTAAGCTGGAAAAACTGGCATTTTTATGTTGATGCTTGGTGAGTTTGCCTCTACTGGTCAAGTTTACCGATTTCGTGTAACAGATTCTGAAGAATACAATTGATTTCAAGTTCAAATTAAGGGCTTGCATTCGGAAGAAAGGAGACCATTTCAGAAATGGTGATTTGGGCGAAGACAAAGTATGTATAATTCGTCTCTCCGGTTTGGCTTAAATTAACGTTTCCAGACTTTTCTTGGGAGCGAAGCAAATCTTTTTGGTCATGGAAAACTTTATCATAGGTGAGACTTGGCAACGAAGGCTGGAAAAAGAGATACTATCAAGAGAAATTCTCAGCAGAAACTCCAAGTGAGATTGAAGCTAAAAGAAAAGATATTGTATGTATCATCCACAAAATTCTGCACAACATTGCTTCGTACTGTAGTATTCATAAGATCAGCCAGAGTATTGAATGATGTTTCTATTTGCATCGCTGCTATTTTTCTACTCCTGAAGGTTCAGAAATATACAGAAGGATTGTTGTGGGTGCTGGAATACTACTACTCTGGAGTCCCTTCATGGAGTTGGTAAGCTGGTTCGACCGACGATTCTACATGTAGAATGAAAACTTGGAAAAGGGAAGCTGATGAAATTAAAAGGCTGAAACTTCATTGCAGGTATTACCCATATCATTATGGACCATTTGCATCTGATCTCAAGGGCCTTTCACAAGTGAAGGTTAAGTTCCAGAAAGGATCTCCATTCAAGCCCTTTGAGCAGCTCATGGCTATACTACCACCCCAAAGGTATATTGAACTGATTCTGACTTGCTGTGTTATAAGCTGATGCAAAACCAACTAAAATGAGCTTTTCATGTGTAGTTCCACTACACTCCCTAAACCATATCAGAAACTGATGACCGATGAGCAGTCCAACATCATCGACTTATTCCCCACGGATTTTGAAATCGACATGAATGAAAAGAGGTTTGCATGGCAGGTTAGCGAAACATACCCGTTTCCTGTCCATTAGTTTTGGTTAATGGTGACAATGAATCCCATGTGTGGATTGTTCTTTCCAAGGGGATATGCAAGCTTCCATTCGTTGATGAACAACGGCTGTTAGCTGAGGTCCATAAGGTCGAGAAGGAACTCCAGGCTCATGAAGCCGAAAGAAACAAGCAAACAGCCGACAGACTGTTTGTTAGAAGAAGCAGCTTGCCTGATGGTCTTCTGGCTTCACTTGTTTCACAAGGATTCCCAAGCATGCTGAACATTGCTTCATGGTTGGTCCAGTTAATTCTTATCCAATCATACGATGAAGCCCCATGTAGATAGTTCAGTTACTTACAGTCCAAGTTATGACTGAATCCTTGGCTTTTGCTGCAGTGGAATTGGTGGCATTGTTCGCTCGGACCAAGTGACTTGGAGCAGCACTATGGACAGAACCATCTTGTAAGCATCTTTCATGTTTAAAAACCGAATGTTTGCAGAAACCTTACATGACAATCATTTCATCTGTTCTTCCTAGATGTCTTTTGCTCGACGCGCCTCATGAAATCAAACACACTTCCCGTCCTCTAGCAGGAACTACCTTCCCAGACAAGGTACTTAGAAACTACATCCAGTACTGTAAAGAAAGGTATAGTATCCTCTTGCTGTCTGCATAATTAAAGCTAGCTTCTTTTTCATATAATGTGCAGACCATAACTGAAGCAGACATTGAAGCCACACAGCTATGGCATGAAATCCCCGTCTCGAGATACACTAACACTCACAGGTTTATCTCTTTCTGCCATATCAATTGTCATAAGTCATAACTCAGAACCACTCCACTGATCTGATGAGTTGATTGTTTTTCATAGCAACCAAAACTGGAACAGAAGAAGCAATAGAGGATAACCACACAATTACAATGACACAAGCTCGAAACCTTCCTCTACGAGTAACACTAATTCAGTTCGATTTGTGACCGATCCTTCTCCAAGAGCGATCACCGGTTTCAGCAGCTACAGATTCAAGTCACTTAACTATAACCCAACCAACCCAGGCAGCAGCCACGGCAGTTGAATGCCAACATTAATGATCATTTAAGGTATCAACATGGTACTGGAAGAAGGCAATGGAGCTCCTCACCATCATCATCAGCAGCTGGCAATGATTAATTACCACCCATCTCTTGCAGAATGGTATGGAAGAGGTGGTGGCAATAGTAACAATGGACCACGTGGGTCTTCTTCTACATCAAGCTGGAGGGCAAGAGGGCAGTCCTGATAATTGGGGGAATCCTTCTGGCAGGAAAAAGTGTCAGTGCCGTTGTAGTGTTTTCTTTATCATTGCTCCTTTTTCTTGTTAGAAGATATGAATATTTTGATGGAGCAATGAGTTCTTTTGTGTCTTGTGGCGAGTGGCCCAATGTGTTCTTTGTCTTGTTTGGCACATGTCGTCTTCCCCTTTCTGGTCTTCCCTACTGCCTTGCTGTTTTGCCCTTTTGGCCCCAACCTTGATACTACTACCAGGCGTCCTTCACTCTTCACCCTTTACTTTTATCTTGCGCAAACCAAACTTACACAGTACAAAACCCATTTCAGTAAAGGTGCTCTTTCCCTTTTCCCAAACCGGAATGGAGAAACTAGTAAACTTTTCAACCTTTTCTATCATGTTGTGCTTGTTCAGTGATTCAGTCACATAGTTACATCCCTTAGCATGTGGACGGGGTAATTAATCAGCATGTGCTCCCGCCATTTCGTTGTTCTCCCACGCTTTTATAATTAAAATGGAGTTGTTGGTCTTTATAAGCAACTTCGATGTACGATTCAAATGAACAGAAATGTGTAGGCAATTCAACGATTTCAGATCATGGTCATTGTCTTCTCATCGACAATGGAGTCGTATTACCAAAACACTGCATTTTCTGAAGAAGGTTACACTGTTACAGACTTGAACAAAGAATAACAATGGTGTGAACTGGGAACATACATGTCTAAGATCATTTCCCTGCTTATTACCACCTAATGAATGAATCAATTTCTTTACGAAGCTTTGAACCGGGGAAAAGAAAGGATTAAGAATGACAATTGATCAGAAGAAAAGAAGGTAAGTTCTTGAAATGAAACCCATTTCAATGGTGGCTGCAAGGTTGCTGCTTGAACCCAAATCTCTGATTCGCCAAATCATACTCCACCCGGAAATTCTGCATCTGGAAGTTCCCCAGTATCACGCTCGGCCCGCCGCCGCTCCCTTCTTCCATCCCGTCCGTCACCACCGCCAAGCACGCCACCTCGCCGGAGCCGACGTACGTGAAGTAATTCTCCACGGGCAGCACCATGTCGGCGCCGCCCTTGAAATGGAGCTTCAGCTCCGGAAACGCCGCCGCGCCCTTCCCGTGAACCCGGAAACAGGGCCGCAGCCCAGTCGCGGCCTCGGCGGCGCGTGACCTGCTGTAATTGCCATTGCTCCTCTCCATCTGCGCCACCAACTCTCTGCTCACGGGCTCGAACACGCCGCGAGACATGAACGTGAACGTGGTCCCGGAATCGACGATCGTCCCGCCGCTGCCGTCGATTCCGGGGGACAGGTGCCGGTACGGGATCTCCACGCGCCGCCCGCCGACGCTGATTCGCCGGAGACCAAGATAATAATAGACGGAGTAGTCCGGCTTGTTGAGGACGAACGGATTCTTAACGAACGGGGTGTAGATCATCCCCCGGGTCTTCGTACCCGAGTCCGACCCGGAATCGAGGACCAAATACCCGCTCCGAACAGAGTCATCGTCGAATTGATGGGAAAGCAAGCAGTAGGAGAATCTAGCGAGCCCGAGTTGACTCGCGAGAGAGGAACGGCCGCGGCCGAGTCCCGCGATTCCGGCGGGTTGGCGAGACGAGAAAACGGAGCATCCAATTAGGAAATTGGGGATCGTTAGGTTACGGAATCGGAGGGTTTCGGAGAGAGCGACGCCTCCGGTGGTCCCCGAACCGTAGAGGATTAGATACGGCGGGCAGATCTGAGAACAATACCTAGACCGCCGACCACCGCCGTTGTAACCGCAATTCCCGCACTGTTCGGACCGCCGGCGCCGGCCGTGGATCCAGGAGCATTTGGGGTTTCTGCATCCGACGATTTTTGAAGACGAGGAGAGCACGGGGATGAAAGAGGGAATTTTGGAGGTGGGTGAAGGGAAGACACAATGCTCGCAGAAGTAGTGAGTGGTGCAGGGGAACCAGACGAAGCTGCTGGCGGTGTCGACGACGAAGGAGAGGGTTTGGGGAGGGGTTCCGAAGCTGAGGGAAGTGGAGTAGCCGCCATAGCTGTGTGGGGAGAGCTCGGTTTTGGCGGTGAAATCGGAAGCTGAGGAGGTGGAAGTCGCAGATTGCCGGTTTGCAGGGTGTTTAATTTGGTGGGCTCTGGTGAGGGAAGAGTTGACGAGGGAGTTGAGATTCTGGTAAGGGCTCGAGAAGGAAGTGGGCGGGAGGAGATGTTGTTGCAGAGGGAGGGTGATTGGGGAAGGGGAGATGAAGGAAGGAAGGAGAGTGAAGAGGAGGAAGAAGAAGGCAGCCATGGAAGGGACCATGACAGCTTCTGTTTGTGTTTGGAGTTCTGGGTTTGGGAATTTTTTGGAGAGAGGGAGAGAGAATGGAATGAAAGCACGTTTGTGGAATAAATATAGGTGTTTTAGAGTTGATGATAAGGAGGGTAGTGGATGATGGTTGGCATTGGATAATGGAGATTGATGAGCTTGGATAGAGGAGCTTTGCTCTGCTTTTTCTGATACTTTTGCAGTAAAATTTACAGAGCCTGCTGGGAGATTGGAGATGGGAACACAAGTTGGACAGTGGAACCTGAATTTATATTGAAGCATCCTGTTTATGCTCTCTTCAGCTTCAGCACGCAGACTAGCAAGCCAAATCACCGGGTATTATGGTATTTGATACTTGAGCAAGTGTAGTTGGTGTTTAGTAATGGCAATTTACTACTTAATTAATTTGTGATACGATCTGTTTGGAGTGGGTATTACTTGATCTGCAGTTGTGTAGGGCGGATGGGTATTGCTTATGATTTATTTCGCCCCGTCTCTGTCCGTTCTACCATGATATGCATCAATATCTACTTATGTTTCTTCTTTTGACCTTTTTAAAATTATATTTCCTCTCAAATAAATTTTAAAACTCTTTTTTCAACTATTTATACTCAATTGTTTCTTTTACTATATTTCTCATTCATTTATGAAGTGTTTTCTCTCTGTGATATTCTAAAATAGTAGAAAATCGATGTTATTTTTTCAAATATAACATGTAAGAATGGACAGACCTCCCTTGATACGTACCCACACGTATGGTACCTGCCATGACCCCTGCTTAGGGCGTGACGGATATAGGTATTGAGGTACCCGCCCCACCTCATTGTCATTACTGTTGGTGTCTCAATTAGGATGAAAGAATATCCACAACATGTTAGTTGCTCGATTCGAAACACATGAATCAAATCAATTATTGGATGGTAGGAATGTGTAATGGGTGGGTTAGCCGATTTTTAAACTGAAATCTACCCACCCGTGGTTTTGATGGGTGATGGAAAAATTACCGATACGACGATACCTATCCATTTGTACAATATGAGTAGGTTGGGTGAGTGATCGCGAACGGTGCATGGTAGGTGAGTTTGCGGATTTTGGTGGGTAAAAAAGATTTTCGAATAATAAGATAATTACGGGCCATAAAAGCTTGGACTGTGCTAATTGAATATCAAAGCTAAAAAAACAAGAAAACATATCACAATTAAGCATAAATTATTGCATAATCTAAGATCAATCAAATCATTTGAGAACAAAATAACATTCGATGGATAGTCATTATATTTTTTTAATAATTGACGTATAATTTATGTTATAATTACAAAGTTTGTAGAAAATTGTGATTATTTAATTGAATCAATCACGATTAATATTTTAAGATAGAAAAATAGGTATATTGTTGTAAAATGTAGACTAGTGACAACTAAAGTCGGGTTGTTTTGTGGGATAATGACCATGTATTGTACGCGCCACTCTCTCAAATTTTATGGGTCATACAAAAAATAACTCACACCCACTCATTATATCCACCCAAAATCCAAACACGTGTTGGATGTATTATAATTGGGTGGATTCAGATAAATTTAGCAGTTCACTCGCTCATTGCTTATCCCTATTCGAAAATTTAAATATGTACAACAATTCTTCTACAAGTATATTTTTAATTATTTACATTGGAGATACCTAATTTAGAGTTTATCTTCTGGTTCATGGACCCATTCCACTCTCTTACTGCACATTAGTTAATCATTGTTATCCATTGATTACACTCTTTTTAATAAAGTGTGGAGGGACATGTAATGATGGAGATTAAGGAAAATTAAGGAGGAGAGAACGGGAGAAAGTTGGGCCGTTGGGGGGCACTAAGCACCCCAGGAAAAAACGGCCAGATCGAGGCGGGGAATGCCGCGGAAAGTAGGGAAACTTCGTTCGTGATTTGGTGGAGGGAAGACAATGAAGTGAATCGGCCGTTGATGGCTGCTTCTGATGATGGCGATGGTCGGAGGAGGGAGAGGAGTAGTGGCTTGCTAGTGGTGGGTGCAGCTTTGCCTTTCTCGTGATATCAAAGTAGCCGTTGGTTGTGCACTTTGGCACTCTCTGCCCTTCATTTTCGGTGTTGTTTACTTGTTTAGAGAGAGAGGGTGCTCTCATACACGGATACAAAATGAGTAGAAATGGATTTGTGATAGTATGTTATATCGTTATATTAAATTAATATTATTATGGTATATATTAAATTTTTTAAATTGATGTCTTATTGCTATTTTTAAATATGGATGCATAATATGCATTTTTTTAAGTGAACCGAAGAAACCACCTTATTATTAAATAACATGATATAAACCGTTAAGATTTATGAGGTAAATAATATGATACTTGAGCTCTCCAACCGATCCAGCTGATTCATGAGCCGAGCTCGAACAGAGCTTGTGAGCTCATTGATAAGTCGAGTTCAAGCCAAACTCAAACTCGACTCATTTATTAATGAGTTGTGGTGAAGTTAGTGTCAAAATCGGGATGCTCAATTAGTATGATATTGTCCGCTTTGGGTCAAGCCCGCATGGATTTACTCTTTGGTCCCCTTTCCAAAAGGCCTCGTACTAATTCAGCAGGTGGACACTAATATACAAGGGTCTCTTCCCTTGTATTTCCGATGTGGTACTTGGATTGTCCCATAACAATCCTCCCCTCAAGACAAGGACCACGAACTCCGTGCCCTCTCCTCAGCGATTATATTGATCCGTCAGACACCTTGTATCGATGGGCATCTCGGTAAAAGGATTTTCCCAAACGCGAAACTCTCTTTGATCCGCCAAACAAACGTGGATCTCTCCTAGATCCACCAGACAGAAGCGGACCTCCCTTGATCCGCCAAACCAGATGTAGCCCAAACGTGGATCTCTCGTGGATCCACCAAACCAGACGCGGATCTCACATCCTAAGGTCACCGAACGAGGGTCCACCGAACCAGGCTCTGATACCACTTGTCAAAATCGGGATGCTCAATTAGTACGATATTGTCCGCTTTGTGTCAATTCCGCACGGTTTTACTTTTGGGTGTCCTCCCCAAAAGTCATCGAACTAATTCAACAGATGGACACTAATATACAAGGGTCCCTTCCCTTATATTTCCGATGTGGTACTTGGATTGTCCCATAACAGTTAGGTCAAAACTCTAATGGACTCGGGTCATTTGCAGTTCTAGCGCCCTGCCTGCCATCGAGTCGCGGATCCTCGTCTATTCTTCTCTATTTCTTTGACCATACCTCCCTCCGCACAGAAAACAGAGAAAACGAGTGTCGGCTGCCGCCATCTTCCTCCGTCATTCCTCCCACCTGATCGTTGCGCATACCATTGGAGAAGATTATCAGGCCAGGTGCTCTCCCTTCATATGCTCTGTACCACCGCACAGACTATCAAAAATACGATAGCTAGCCGTTGCAAGTATGCTCTCGAACGCTATCTACTCCCCTGCTCCGTCCGGTGTCTTCTATCGCTTCACCTTCCTCCGATCTGGGTTGTTGAAGCCGCAATTGGAGAAGAAGGCAAAAGCCGGCGGAACCCCTCTACTCTGCCTCTCCTTTGTTGTCGCTCAATGCTGTCGGAAGAAGGTCAACTAAAGAAGGAGACGAGATTGATGGGCGGGTTGGAAAAAAATGCTTGTGCTGGGTGGTTAGGTTAGGCCATTTGGTAGACTAATGTGGCAGGTTTAGCAAACTATATGTTTGAATTGGTCGGGGTTTTTTTTGTTGTTGTTAAAATTTGGTAAATCAACACTTCTCTTAACCACGTAATAAAACGCTGATGGTGTTAATGGAGACTGACAAGACTAACGGAAAGTGACCAAATTTGAAATATTAAACTAATCTTAATAACCACGAATAAAATAAAAAAAATTTAGTGACAAAGTGTAAAATTTTCTAGTTACTCCTATGATCAAACTTGCAATTTACCTCCCGGATTTCCAAACAAATTCTATTGGGGATTGCTATTCGTCGCCCTAAAATTAAATTATTTCGCCCTAAATTGTATTAAATTGACGTTTATAACCCTAATGCCCAATTTCAACCGGTGTTCGTAACTTGGATGGTCGTCCAGCCCACCAACCGTCCGACCACCGCTGTCGTTTATCGTTCAACTCCTTAATCTTGCTACCAATGTCATGTCTCAGCGCCACATCGTCGAACGAAATGAAAGAGAAAGGAAGGAAAGGGCATTCTTTCTCGACGAAATCAGAGACCCACCAGAGCTACTACTCCAATCAATTGAGATCCGGCTGGTTGGCTTCAACTCGACGCTGAAGAATCACGGTGCTCCACTCGTCCAGCACGTCGTCGATCTCGAACGACACATCGTTCAGGCGGTGGATCCATAACTTCACTATTTCCTCCGTCAGCTGCCGCTGCTCGGCATCGTTGAGCAAGGCGCGAAAGCTTCAATCACCGGCCTCCCCCGTTGTTTCAGTTCCTCGAAAAGGATTGTTCCCAACTGGTCCAGTACCGTGGAAACTGTACCGGCGGCTGCCATGGTTTTTGGGGGAAGAAATGGATAGAAAGGTATTAGAGATAAATAAATTATCTCTAATAAAAGGTTGATTTAGGGAAAGCTTGTTCGGCAACCTCCCTTGTTTCAATTGTTGAAAAGCGAGGGGAATATAAAAAAATTGACTGGGTGGATTGGAGAATAGCAATGGGTCGGCGACTCGGCGGCGAATGAGAGAAGGTCGGCGGGTGGGGAATGGGAACGGTGCCGGATTGTGGGAACGACAACAGCGGTGGTCGTACGGTTGGTGGGCTCGACGGCAATTCAAGTGACGGACACCGGTTGAAATTGGCTTTAGGGTTATAAATGTCAATTTAGTACAATTTAGGGCGAAATAATTTAAATTTTAGGGCGACGAATAGCGATTCAGAATTCTATTGAGCTTAATTGCAAGTTTAGTCACTCGAATTGCTACAAAATTTCACGTTTGCCACTCAAATTGATTTATTCCATTTATAGTCACTTAAATTAGTTGAACAGTCTAAGTTCGGTCACTCTTCGTTAACCTCCATTAGACTCCGTTAATGACGACCGTTAAGTGATGACGTGACTAACAGAAAATCACAGTTAGCATATTTTAACACTAAAAAACGACGACCCGACCCGCCACATCATATTTACCCGCCATGTCAGCCCTACTTGCCCAACCCGCGAACCAACCCAATAATTGACCCAACCCGCGAACCAACCCAATAATTGACCCAACCCCTAACTCGAGACTCGACCCCCCTGAATGAAATACATCATCTCCTCTCAACCGCCAGCGCAATCCCTAATTCCCAAGACTCACCTCGTCCCCTCTCCATCGTTTCACTCTCTGCCCCTAATAACCCTTCCTCCTCTTCGTCTCCGCCACTCAGAACCCTCCCCCTGCTCATCATCTCCTGCGCTCACTTCCTCCATCACAGGCAGCGCACATCGACAGCGGCCTAGTAGCAGCACAGCGCAGCGGCAGTAGCAACAGATCGAGACACACGACGACCCAATCGGCCAATCCCATCCCATCGATTCCCTCTCTCCCTCGTCTCTGCCGCTCACGTCTTCCTTGGTCGATCGAGGATTCTGGGATTGCAGGTTGTGTCTCCTTGTGTCCTTTGAAATAGTGGTTGATTTCAGATCTGGGTTTTGTGTCTCCTTCCGTGCTTGTCAAAGGTGAAGGTTGAGTGAAGTGGCTGCCATCCAGATCAGTCAATACCAGTGGGTCGTCCATGAACTTCCAGCCCAATTCCATGGAGGAGGATGGCGAGTTTTCGTTTGAATCTAAACCTGTTTGTGGCAGTGTTGGCGTAGTGAGTTAGATCAGGGAAGAGAGTTTGCTCCTGGAAAGTGATCCAATTCGTTGAATCGGAGAATCCATATCCCCCAACCCTCTCATTCGATTTATTTGTCTCTCTGGGTAGCGTTCGTTTCCCTGTTCTTTTACTGGGAGGACTCTTGGCTCTGTACTATTCGCGTCGCAGAGAAGAAAGGGGAGAGATCCACCCTCGCTTATCGCTTCACTCCGCCGCTAGTAGTTGAACTTTCTCCCTATTCTTTTGGCCCATCATCGCTAGGTTTTATTGTGTTGTGGTTGTTGTTTGGTTGCTGACAGCTATTGCAGCGCCGAAGTTGAATTCTGCTTCGTTTATTAGAATTCTGGTGGATTGATTGTGTAGCATATACAGTAGGGAATCCTTCAATGGTGTTTTCAACTTGAGTTATGAGTTCAGGGGGGTCGGATCTCGAGTTTGGGGTTGGGTCAATTATTGGGTTGGTTCGCGGGTTGGGCAAGTAGGGCTGACATAGCAGGTAAATATGACGTGGCGGGTCGGGTCGTTGTTTTTTAGTGTTAAAATATGCTGACTGTGATTTTTTGTTAGCCACGTCATCACTTAACGGTCGTTATTAACGGAGTCTAATGGAGGTTAACGGAGAGTGACCGAACTTGGACTGTTCAACTAATTTAAGTGACTATAAATGGAATAAATCAATTTGAGTGGCAAACGTGAAATTTTGTAGCAATTCGAGTGACCAAACTTGCAATTAAGCCAATTCTATTGAAAAAGGAAAGAGTTCTTCCGCCGGGCTGACGCAGTCGGATCCACGTCAAACCGCCAAGAAACCCTACCGTCCAAACAGCTCATTTCGCGGCATTTTTGCTTCTTCCGATTCACCGGAGAAGAAAGCAGCAAAGCACAGACATAGCGTTAGCAAGCATCCATCTCGCATTATCATCGGCTTCTTCCTAGTGCCGTAAAGACTTCCCCAGTTTGCACGGGTCTGGAAACCCGGCTTGCCTGGCCAAACCCGCCCCCAATTTGGGAGGGAATCGCATTTCAAATACTGATTTCGCCGGCACTTCTCCAGAGCCTAATAACCCTTCCACACTCCGGTAGTGGCCGTATCACTCTCAGCTAGTTAAAAAAAAAAGCACTAGCGGAAGTCTGCCTTTCGGGAAATGGCGACTGCTGCTGCGTTTGGAGTGACGCCGCACAAGGTCTCGGTCTGCGTTCTGCTCCAGATGTACGCGCCGCCGGCGCAGGCCGAGCCTCTTTTCTCGGTGTCTCAGCACAATCACCTTGGCTTGTACTTGTTAGCTCTCACTAAGGTTTCTCTCTCGCTCTCCCTCTCACAGACTTTCTATTGAATTTGGAGCGAGTTGTTCATTCAATTTTCTGCAGTCACATGGCGATTTTCTGGAGCCCAAACTGGCCGACCTTCTGACTCAATTGAAGGAAATTAGCGGTTCCTTGGGTGATTGGCTGATTGAACATTTGACGAGTAGGCTCTCTTCTCTGTCTTCACCTGATGATTTGGCCGCTCTCTTCAGTGAATTTCGAGGTTCAATTCTCATTTGCCTTCTTTTGTTTGGTTCTCGGGTCACTACTGTGATTGATACTCTTTCTGCTGCAATGGCTCTTGGACTTACTTGAACGACTGTGGCTCTGTTCAGGGATACTTGGTGGAACCGAGTCTGCTGTTATTGAAGACAACCAAGTTGTTTTGGACCCAAACAGCTACCTGGGGATGTTTGTCCGTCGTTGCATACTTGCTTTTAACCTCTTATCGTTCGAGGTATTCTGCGTATTCTACTATTGTGACAGTCAAACTTTTCATCATACACCTTGAATTGGGAAGCTTTGCTACTCTTCTTACCGAGCTAAGAGCTACTAGCAGTGTATATCTTCAAATTTGTAGGTAATTGTGTTGTTGGCCTCAAGTGGTGCTGTAAGTCCTAGCATGCTTTTCGGCTTGGCTTTTACTGAGGAAATTTAGAATGAGGAAGAAATTGTGAAGGATAATAGTTTGCAACTGTTTGAACAGATGTGAATTCCTGTGCCATTGAACTTGTATTTGCTTGTTGCTAGGGGTTCTGCTCCATTCTCTGTTACTTGGATTCAAGTACTCCCTTTATCTCTCAACTCAGGAAGTAATTATTTGTGGAAATTGCTTCATTGCAACTGCTCAATTAGGAATTCGGGAATTAAAGCATTTTATAATCATGTGTTGGAGAACACGGTGGCTAGCAATACTTGATATTTAACTGGTTACTTTAGTCAACACTTCGGAAAATACTTTTGGTTATTTATAATATGTTTCTAACGTAGAAATTGCAATGCAAAGATTAGTTAGAGAAACCAATCCTATGTTCGTCAACTAAATTTGCATGCATTTTACTTTTCTTTTAATCCGTCTTTGATCTTGAGTAGGAAGTTTGACACTGTGATGCTGCTAAATAGTACCTCACTGTTATTTCTGAATGCAATTCAGGGTGTCTGCCACCTTTTGACAAATATTGGAAATTACTGTAAAGAATCCCTCTCAAGTTGCCTCCCATATGAGCTGCATGGTTTAGATGATTCTGTTAATGATTTGGAGTCATCATCAACGTACGAGAACATGGACTTGGAAAATATTGTATTTCAGAAAGTAACAGAAGAAATGGAAGCAAACAAGCAGGCCAGTCAACGGAACTCTTTTCACCTGCATACGCCCAAAGCACTCTCTGGACTGGTTCAAGGTATGCCTAGTTTTTTTCCCCCCCAAAATTGCATCTGAATGAATTCATGAGCTGTCAGTGTAAAATTCATTCTGTCGCAAGGAGAAAGATATCCTTTGCTGTTATTGAAGTTTGACACTACCTCTTGTGTTAGTTTTGGCAGAGTGTGTTTTTCTTGTGCTTTGATAAAAGGTTTTGTAAAGAATTTTGCTTCTGAGTGCAACATAGTAAAGTTATACTTGTGTGGTCATTTCTTAAGCTTTCTAAATTAATAAGCAGGATCAATGAATGTGCAGATATAGAGATCGTTGCTGGTTCAATACCCAATCGTGCTGGCAAAAGTGGAGAAACTTGTTCCAGCTTGGATACCAGTGCAAGTGGAGCACGACACGCTGATACTTCTGGGGATATGTTCCTGAGAACAACAAGCCAATTACAAGGCTTCTTCATGGAACAGGCAGATGCAATTGAGAAGTAACTTCATGTTTGTTTGTTTGCACTTGTGTTTTCTTGTAGCTTTATTTTTCTTATGCCACATGTCTTCTTCAAATTAATAGATGCACTCTTGTTGCAGGGATGGTTGTTCATTCCCATTAAATGGCTTTGAAGTTATCTTAAACCGCATTAAAAAGTTGGCACCTGAGCTACACCGTGTAAGTAAACAAGAGTACTCAAGTTGAATTTTGCTGCATTGATAATAATTTTGTTGATTACAGTTATTTGAGGCATCCTAACACTAATGGGGGCGGGGATGTATTTGGTTCCTCAAAATTGATTTATTCCTAAGTAGCTGCCTCTTGCATTTTAAAGGGTGCCTCTTTGTGCTTCCTTTGTTTTAGTCTTTCTGTTTCCTCTGTCATTCCTTCAGCTGCTATGTTTTCATCCAGGTACACTTCTTACATTACTTGACTTGCCTTTATCATGATGATTATTTTGGTGCTTTGGAGAACCTCCGACGTTTTTTTGATTACAGGTAACTTGTACAAATCTTTCCATTTTCTGATTCGATCCGACCCGGTTGTTGGTAGAGCTATAAGCTATTTATTTGATCATAGACATTTCTGGAACCCCTCTAACAGAGGGACAAATAGTCAATTTTGAAAGATATGAATCTATCTAACCCATGCGATATAATAGAATGCTGCTTGTCATGTTAAAGTTTGATTGAGATTTTCCCTGTGCTATAGGAGCTTGCAGTTATTTTCCTTTTACTGCACGTTAGAATTAATAACTGATTTGCTTCTCTATGGTATGACTTTTCTTGCCCCAGTATCTTCCTTGTATATTTCACATGTTACTGTGGGAGCAAAAAGTTGGTACTAGTTACATGTTCAGAGAATTAGTCATGACAAAATCATAGCTTGGCGAAAGTTGGTCAATGAACCTGATAAATGGTCAAACACATGACTGAACCAACAACTGTTTGAGCATTGAAGCTGTGGCTATCTTACTGCTAAATGCTTTCTGTCAAGAAATTTAAAGGAACTAGGTAGGAGTAAACATGAGCAGCTTCAAGAAGTTATTGAGACTAATCAATATTGATATGATCTACTGCAGGATATGTCTATACTATGACATTTCCTTCCACCACATGAATGTTTATAATGTGTAGAAGCTAGATATAATGGCTATTCATGTATGACATACAATACTATGTGACATAATTGCATAACAACTGGGTGCTTGCTGACACTGAGAGCCATCAGAGGTTCTTGCTTGTTAAAAGGGAAACAAAGAAAAAGAAAATAACAAGAAATTAGAAGATAGAATGGGAACATTCTAGGGAATTAATAGTTTGAGGAATGGTGGTATTTGTGGAGTCGGATATATCAGTACTAGAGGTGGCAATTGGATCGGATTCGTGGATTGGTGGATTGGATTGGTGGATCAATGAATCAAATGGATTGGATCCAATGGATTGGTGGATTCATGGATTGGATCCAATGGATTGGTGGATTGATCCATGAATCCAAATGACATCCAAAGCTTGGACCAAAATGTAAATTTTGAAAAGTTTAGGTACTAAAATGTTATAATGAAAAAATTTAGGTACCAAAATGTAATTTTCCAATGATTTTTTTCGTATAAAAATATAAATTTTAGGTACCAAAATGTAAAATATAAAAAATATAGGTACCAAATCGTAATTTGCCATTTGGATCCATGGATTGATCCATGAATCCACCAATCCAATTGGATTTGGATCAAATAGATTGGATTTAAATGGATTGGATTAAGTGGATAATTTGGTGGATGGATTGGATTGGATTCATGGATTTGGATCCTAATTGCCACCTCTAATCAGTACTTATAACTGAAAACTAGGTAGTTTGCAGAAGTCAACACAAGGCTTGTTGCTGAAGATAAACATTTACTTCATGCTGAAAGCAACTTTTGTGTTTCCTGAAAGCAACTTTTGTGTTTCCTGGAAACCCAACTTTAATTGCTGATCTCACAAGGCTATGTTTGCTCTTTTGAAGAAGGATTAAGAATGCACGCCTTTAAGTTAGCTCCACGAAGTCTTTTTCTCCCTCCTTCTCTTTGAGCATTGTTTTCTTGTAAATGTCAACTTCTCTTTGATAAGCTATTATCTCAGATATTTTTCTCCTGGGTTTGGTGGGAATATTAAGTTTCCTGCTTATGTCACAAAAGTGTAGGGATCGGTGGATTTGATATTACTCCTGTACCTTCACGATCGAAAGGATTTGAGAGATATGAGACAGGACTGTTGTGTTTGGGAATGCTGCAATTCCACTTTGGGCATCCAAAGCAAGCTTTGGAGGTACGCATGGGAATATTACTTTTCCTGATTTGCTTATCTCTGTTCTGCTAATTTATGCAAAACATAGAATTTGGCAGTTACATGTGCCCAGCTGCCCAGTGGTTTTGAGCTTTATGAATCTCAGTTTTATAGTTGTGTTCCAAACTGACCTGCACCATGGTATAAGCAGTGGAATTTGTTGAAGTATTCTTTGTAATCCTAGTCCTTAACTGTCTTAAATCCTGGAAACCCATATGGAAAAATTGTTATGAAAATTATTTGCAGCGAAGTTAAAGTGAAATAGTCTGTCCTTAGTTTGTTGTTAGTTTAAATGCTAATTTGAGCTTGGTACCTTCCTTGGTCTGTCGAGCTGAGCCCATATGTTTTTTCTATCTTGTATTTCTGTTGCTCTCTTGTTTTCTTTATGTAATTGTTCTGAACTACACATTTATTTTCAGGTTCTGACTGAAGCAGTCCGTGTTTCTCAACAGGTAAGATGCTTCTTTTTTCATTATGTTGAAAAAGAACTGGAAAAATATTATGGCAAGAAAAATTTTCAATATGTCAACTAGCATAAGGTTGGTGGTGATTTACTTTACCTGTGGTGGACAGCTTAATGTACACAAGTACTAAATGCCAAGCTCTCCCCTTATGTAGGAAAAACCCTCGGCATGTGATCTGAGTTTTGCATTCAAGGATTGTTTAAAGCCTTTAATTTGGATGTATTCTGAGAAGACAGTATTTTAAAAAATTCATCGTTATGTCACAAAAAATTACTGCAATGCATGCATTTGAAAGAAGATAAGGTGCTTAGAGTACATGGAAATTATATATTTTCAAATTCAAACTCTGTAGAGAATTGATTTATTGGTTTCCCTCGCAAAATCCAAAAAGTGTGGGTTTCACAAAACATGAGTTCTTACAATCAGGTCATATACATGCTTATTTCATGTAATGTAAAAGTACATGCATTATTAGAATTCCAGACTAGCCCTCACCTCCTGCTGCTTGTTACCTCCACTGCATATTTTATGGATTCCGCAATGAACTATTTGTGTTGTTGCTTGGTAATCCTCTGTCTGTGCAGCAAAGTAATGATAGTTGTCTTGCATACACTTTGGCCACTATCTGCACCTTATCTTCAGAAATGGGTAGCTCCAGCACGAGTGGGATGCTTGGAACATCATATTCACCTACTGCTACCATTGGCACATCATTGTATTTCAAGCAACAATTATTCGTTCTCTTGAGAGAGGCTCTTAAAAGAGCTGAAAGTTTGAAGTTGAAAAGGCTGGTCGCTTCTAATCGTCTGGCAATGGCCAAGTTTGACTTAATGGTAAGAATGGTTAAGCTCTCTTCCAGGCCTTGGTTGCTTTTTTGGACCTCGTTTTCAGTCTTGGATCATATGCATCTACTTCTCTGTACGATGTTAATTTTCTGATTGTTGTTTTAATTAATGCATTTATACTATTATGCGCAGAATGTTCAGAGACCACTGCTATCATTTGGTCCCAAAGCATCCATGAAGCTTCGAACGTGTCCAGTCACGGTTTGTAAGGTATGTGGTCGTAGTTGCTGCTGTTTCCTCAAATGACAAGCCAAACCTGTGCCAATCCTTCCACATATTAATTTTCTTGCAGGAACTGAGATCATGCTTGCATTTGGTTAGTGAATATGGCTCTGAAAGCCCTACAATGACAATTGAAGGTGCTTTTAGCACAGCATGGCTTAACAATTTAAGAAGACCAATGGGTGCATCAGTGTTGTCCCTAGACAATGGAGTTGGGGAGAGTTCTAATGCCTTTCAATTCTGTGCTCAACCAAGCTCAATTCCCAGATCTGTTTTGCAATTAGTAGGTTCTTCATACTTGGTTCGTGCTACTGCTTGGGAGATATATGGAAGGTGATTCTTTCCGAAGGATTTTAATAGAATTTACTTATGTTTTTCTACTGTCAGAGCCAAGTGTGTCTGCCCTCCCTTAATTATTGATAGTCATGCTGCTCCTACAACGCTCCCCTCTTTTTCTAACTTCAGAGACTCTGGCCTGTTGGCTGTTTTCTTTAATCCAGTATTACTTGGCTGTACAAGAACATACTATGTGCTTTTTATGATGCAGTTTTTTTGTACATCCTGCTGTGTACTTTAAAGTTTTGGATTTTACTTGCTTGATCACTCTAACCTTGGACCTCTGTAAACAGTGCTTCCCTTGCTCGGGTGAACTCATTGGTCTTTGCAACTTGTTATCTTGATGCTTCAAGGTAACTATGATGCTAAAATTATGACGTCTCTCAAATTATGCATTCATCTACATGACTGTGTTTTGATCCTTTGTTGGACTTGGTTTGGTGCAAAGTTCGTCAGATGCAGCATTGGTGCATGCAAAGCTGATCCAGCACTTAGCAACGTTTCAAGGATATAAAGGTTGGATTTATGGAATCTCTTATTTGCATTGTGCTATTATCTGGAAGATCGTTACCATGTTATTTCATTTCATGGAATTCTAACATAAACTTTCTTTATCCAGATGCTTTCTCTGCTCTCAAAGTAGCTGAGCAGAAGTTCTTATCCATCTCAAGACCAGTAATTTTGCTACTTAAACTGCAGCTGCTCCATGAGCGTGCTTTGCATAGGTGATGGCACTGATGGGCTCTACTTTTTGTTTGTATTTTATTCACTTCGAGACTTGTAAACTTCAAGTTGTTTAATTGACTATACAGAGGAAATCTGAAGTTAGCATTACAACTGTGTAATGAGCTTGGAGTATTAGCATCGCCTTTCAATGGTGTTGATAATCAGCTGAAAATTGAAGCAAGCATGCGCCATGCCCGGACATTGCTTGCAGCCAAACAGTACAGACAGGTTAGCAGACCTTGTTTCAGCAAAACTTCAACTGGCAATCTAAACAGTACCCATTGATTCAGAATAGGTCCTCCCACCTTTATCTTTCCTGAAGTTGATGAACTTGATTGGTTGTGAACTCTGATGTTAAACATTAACTTGATTGGTTGGTTGCGTGTGCGTGCGTGAAAACTGGGATTGTTTGGTCCTCGTTGTCTAAACCAAGCTGGAATAATATACCTCTATTGTACTGGTTTGTCTTATATGTTTGATGTAATTTCATGCAGGCATCAGAAGTTGCTCAGTCTCTCTTCTGCTTGTGCTACCAATTCAACATGCAGGTTGAGAATGCTAGTGTTCTTCTTCTGCTGGCTGAGATTCACAAGGTACAATGATAGTTGGATAATGTATGTTGACCAATGCGACTGGCTTGGAACCAAGTCTTATTTGTACTCTCGCGAAAATGTATTGCATTTGATTATAAAATTTGCTAACTGGTACGTGTTTTAGATAACGGTGGCCAATTTACTGAATATCCTTCAAAAGTCCCATTTTGAGATCTAACAATGGTTTCTTAGTCGATCTTACGAGGATCTATGTTTTTGTATTCTTCCATTTCTCCAATAAAGCGTATTGTTTTCCATTTTCCCCATTTTATGGGCTGATGTAATGATAATCCCTTTTTTTTGTTTATTGGCAGAAATCAGGAAATGCTGTTTTAGGCCTTCCATATGCACTTGCAAGCCTCTCATTTTGTCAGTCGTTTAACTTGGATCTCCTAGAAGCATCAGCCAAAGTGACTTTGGCAGAGCTGTGGCTGTCACTGGGAACAAACCATGCAAAAAGGGCTCTAACTCTGCTACACGGAGCTTTTCCAATGGTACTTGGTCATGGTGGCCTGGAGCTCCGTGCTAGGGCTCGGCTTATTGAAGCACAATGCTATTTATGCGAGCCAAACTATTCAGGTTTCCTCCCCTATCCCTCCTGGACTTGTGACCTGTTCTTCTGTTCATAATTGCAAGTTTTATATACTGTGAGTTGCCCTGATCTATATAGCTGGCCATTTAATCTTTCAGTGGTCGAGGACTCCGAGATTGTGCTAGATGCTCTGAAGCAGGCTTCAGATGAATTTGAAGTATTGGAGGTAGGTGGTTTCTATTTTTTTCGTACCAAAAAAACCCTTGTATAATACGGAGTGGGTTTATTCATACATTCCTAGTTTCAATCTTGACAAATGGTCTGCATCGTTTATGGTCGAAACAGTACCACGAAATGGCAGCAGAAGCTTTCTACTTGATGGCTATGGTTTACAACAAACTGGGACAGCTGGAGGAAAGAGAAGAAGCTTCAGATTCTTTCAAGAAACACATACTGGCTCTTGAGAATCCTCAGGAGGAAGAAGAAGAAGATGAAGATGAACCCGTATCGGAAATGCTTGTAGAGAAAAACTAACTGTAGAAGCTCTCGACAGTGTCGGGGTTTTGTATCCTTCTATGGTTGTAGCTGCTATAGCTACCAACATCTATACCATTCATTATTTTTATTTTATTATATTTTTAAATTAACGATTAAGATTAGATAAGGGTAATTTAGGAAATGAAAAACATACCACACCTAATTATTCTATATATTATATTCAAACCCTAATACAACCCCACAACCGCCGCCGTCTCTCCCTTCTCCCACAACCGCCGCCGTCTTCTCCCTCCTCCCTCCTTCGTCTGCGTGCCTTCGAAATACGCCAACTCTATGTTGCCCTGCGACTTGAGCCACACCGGCGGCCACGATCTCGGTGACGTTGCTGGCCCGGATAAAGCCGGCGGCGGCGGTGGCGGAGAACACAAAGAAGGTGTCGAGGCTGCCGTTGCCGCCGCAGCTGCCGCGGAGAATCACCGTAAGCTGCTCTGGTACGAACGCAGAGAGCTTAGTGGGCATGGCGGACCTATACTTTGTGACCCGGTGATTAATTAATCAATCAAGAAGGAGACGGTTCGGATCGAGGAGGATGAGGAGAATCCCGGTAGTTTCCTCGTCGTGCTCACCATCGTCTCTGCAATTGGAAGGAGGAAATCCATTGGAATGGTATGTTTTTTTTTAAATGGTAGTCATTTTTTTCGTAGTGGTAGTGTTATTGTCGTATTGGTATAGTTTTTGTCGCATTGGTATTGATTTTGTCGCATTGGTATTGATTTTGTTACATTGGTATCGATTTTGTCGCATTGGTAGTGATTAAATCTGCAATGGTATTGATGTTTTGCGAAATGGTAGTGTTTTTATTTCTTGAATGGTATTGATGTTTTGTGAAATGGTAGTGTTTTTATTTCTTGAATGGTAGTTTTCGTGTAATGGTATAAATTTATTTCTGCAATGGTAGTTTTCGTGTAATGGTATAGATTTATTTCTGCAATGGTATTGATATTTTTCAAAGTGGTAGTGTTTGTCTAATGGATTGGTACTGATTTCGTTTTTTTTTTTGGCAGAAAGATTGAGAAAAATATGGAAAGGAAATCTGGCTGGAGATTACGGAAGTGAGAGAAAGAGAGATTTTTAATTAATAGATTTTTGTAACTGCCTTAAATGTAATTTATTAAAAAATTAATTAATATAATTTATTTTTCCATACCCAATTTACCCTTAGTAACCACGGTGATTACTATAAAAAAGTACTCACCGTAACCGCTCCCTGTGGTTATTTGTTTATTAGTAATCACGGTGGCAACCTCTTTATATACCGTTTGATTTCCTATTTTCCTTTCTTTTTTAATCTTACGGTCAAGATTCTTTGAGGGTAATTTTGGAAATGAAAAAGTGACCACACCCGATTATTCTATATAATCTACCCAAACCCTAGTTCTACCCTCCCTCCAGCCAAACCCGCCGCCTCCACCACTCCCGTCGCACTAACGACTAATCCCGCCGACCGCCTACACTAGCCCCGACGACGATGACTCTGTGCAAGCGACGACGACTGTCGCCGCTGTTGCTGTGCCCTACTCCGACTCTGCCGCCGCCGCCTCCTCCTTTCCCACCCATCTTCCGTCCTCACCCTCCCCTCTGCGTCACCGCCCCCAATCAGATCTGAGTACAGACGACGCCGATGGCCAAACTTCTTCTTATTCTCTTCTTTCACAACCTTTTCCCCAGTGACTTCCGCTTTCTCTTATTCTATTTATGGCTGTTCTAGTCTCTCAGCGTTTGCGACGGACGCTATGGCCGCAGCTTAAATGAGTTTCCCTCGGATGATAATCACGGCGGGCGACGCTGGAGTAGTAGTTGGACTCAATGTGTAGTAGTATTGGTAATGGTACTATTATACGAATGGGATTTTTAATTAGTATTTGTTATTGGTTTGTAAATTGTAATCGTGTTCCTCCACTGGCTGCAATTTTTTTATTTGCATAATGGTATTGCTTTACTGAGCAATGGTATTGGTAATGACATTCGTTAAGGAAAATCGCCTTTTCTTTTGGTAGTACACTACTATTTGGTTTGGTATTGTTTTATCCTTTGTGTAATGGTAGTCCTGCAATGGTATTGATTCAATGTGCAGTGGTATGAGTTTACTCTCTCTCTAGAAGAGGCTCTAGATATGAGTTTACTTTTTTGGTACTGGTTTATTTGTTTCGTTTTATGAAATGGTAGTTTTATTTTTCTTAATAGTATTGATTTATTTCTGTAATGGTATTATTTTGACTTTTGTAATGATATAGATTGTTTATATTGGTAGTTTTAGTGTAATGGTATTGACGGTTTCCGAAATGGTAGTGGTTGTCTAGCAGATTGGTATTAATTAAATCTGCAATGGTATTTATTTTTTGTGAAATGGTATAGATTTATATTGGTAGATTGTTTATATTGGTAGTTTTCGTGTAATGGTATAGATTTATTTCTGCAATGGTATTGATATTTTTTGCAATAGTAGTGGTTGTCTAATGGATTAATGATTTCGTGTTTTTTTCTTTTGCAGAAAGATTGAGAAAAATAGGGAAAGGAGATCTTACTGGAGATTATGGAAATGAGAGAAAGAGAGAGAATTGTAATTAATATATTCTTGTAACTACCTAAAATGTAATTTATTAAAAAAATTAATTAATATAATTCATTTTTCATACCCAATTTACCCTTAGTAACCATGGTGATTACTACTTTTGTAGTATTCACCGTAACCTGTCTCATTTGTCGGCATATATAACCTTCTCTCAATAATTCGAGTTATTGAATCTAATTGGTTTATAATTTGGTATCAGAGCCTGGTTTCGATCCAGGGACCTGTGACTGTGAGTTATGGCTCTGTCAGATACCATGTCATAAACCAATTGGGTCCCAATAACTCGAGTTGTTGGAAAAAGGTTATGCTGGATCTTATATCACTCTCTAACAATATTGATATATGAAGTTTTGTTGGGTTATATATATATTTACGTGGTTTAACAACGCAATAAAGTAAACAATGCAGAGATTTACGTGGTTTAATAACATAATGTATAACTACCTTCATGCAGTAGAAGAGAATAGTTTCACTATATGTTGGGTTATATATATATTTTCTTTTGAGTAGACTTATATAAAAAAATATTTAAAATACATACATAAAATTTTTTCAATAACTCGAGTTATTGATACGGTGAATAAGTGGGAAAAGGATGTAAGTATTCTAGAGCAGCTGGTGACAAACAAGGCCCCAGCTCAATTCACCAGCTCATGGGTGGATGTAAACCTAGGCTAGCTGTGGACTGTTCCGTACAATATTGTTTCCTCGGAAAAACCAAATGCCACCGCCGGTGCTGAATTCGTTTCCGGCACTGTTGATTTGATGTTTCGCGGTGGAAACTCTTGCGGTGCCGTTTGATCGAATGCACCGCTGATTGCTTAAATCGAGACGACCGTCAAATATCCGTCGCCGAATGTCGGCGCCGTTGATTTGATCGATGCACCTCTAAATGATGAAATCAACGTGACCGTCAAATATCCACCGTCGAGCGGTGTTGATTTGATCGATGCACCTCTGACTTCTAACCAAGAACGACCGTTACTACGGTTCGCACCTCTCCAAACTACGTTCGAACGAGGGTGTTTGAGTTTTGAGGAATCTACGCTACCGCTACTCCTATGGAGATTCCTGTGGAGAGCTCCGCGACTACGACTAAGACTACAACTATGGAGATCCTTCCTGGAAGGAGAGCTCCGCGAAGGAGTTACAGAGAAAAAGGGAAAATTTGACAGATGTGTTTCTGTGTTGATTTTTTTTGTCCTCTTCTCTCTCCTTGCTCCACTGCTTTTATTCATAAAACTGCTTCGTAGTCTTCACGCTCGGTGGAACCGCTTCCTCAACTGCTCCGTTGTGAAATCCCACGTGTCTCAACCGCTTCGCTCCTCAAACTGCTTCGCGTGAACTTTACGTGAGTTGTTTTCATGATCCTGCGATGTCGTTTCCTTTCCCAATCAGCTCCGCTTGATTCTACCCGCGACATCGTTTTAATATTAAACGACTCCGCTTCCAGCCTTGCGATGTCGTTTTCTTTCCCAACCAGCTCCGTTTTTTTTTTCTTCCGCAACACTGTTTATTATTAAACACTGTCGTTTGCTAGTATAGCGGTACCGTTGGGCTTCCTCGCAGTACTGTTTTTAATTCCGCGGCACCGTTTTAGCTCTCCGCGGTGCCGCTTCTCCCCATCCAACAAGGAATAAAAATAACAATAATTAATTATAAACAAAACTCATTTTCCAATACCCAACTAACCGCGCGGCCCCCTTTTGATTTTCGATATCGTTTCCAGTACCGCGGTATCGCTGAGCTTCCTTGCGGTACCGTTTTAACTCTCCGCGCTGCCGCTTCTCACAAGGAATAAAATGTAATTTATTAAAAAATTAATTAATATAATTTATTTTTCCATACCCAATTTACCCTTAGTAACCACGGTGATTACTATAAAAAAGTACTCACCGTAACCGCTCCCTCATTGCAACAATATATGCCAACAGTTCGCTCCGACTTGTATAGCATAAGCGCATGAGACATTGAGTGGCAGCTTTTGCAGTCGATAGTAACTATAGGTCTGTATCGGCGCCTGTAAACACTAAATTTTCAACTATCAATTTTTCTTTCTGGTAGCGATTTTCACTATCAATCTAATTACACATGATATGAGATCAACAACTGCTGAAAGCCTGAAACACAAGAGAGAAGAGATGGTAACTACACAACACGAGGGGAAGAAGAATATGGCCCAAAAGGGTCTGCTACAACCCACCACTACTTACACTCTACACTCTCAGAAAAAAGTTCTCCATCAAGCTAATTCTTCTTCAAGAAAGCATCAACCCTCGTGTTCACTCCCCTCGACAGAAACTTCATGCAGATCGGCGGCTTCACACCAACCAACGCCAGAATCGAGCTCGGCAGCGTCCATATCCCATCTCCACAGATCAACCCCGACGCCACCGCCGGCCCGAACGCATCCGCCTTCTCCTTGTCAACCTTCCCCCACACGTACAAGATCAAGCTCCCCACACACATGTCAATGGCGAAGTAGCCGCCGAGGTAGAACGGTATCGCCATCGCCATGGGAAGCGGTATGAACTTCGACCACCTCGGCCCGACCAGGTCCCTCAGCCCGTTGATGAGCATGGCGGCGAAGAAGAAGATGCAGCAGAGCATCAGGCAGTTCTTCGGGAGAGCAGAGAAGCCTTCCACTCCCAGCACGGACATGTTGCGGAAGACCAGAGCATATGGGGCCGGGTACTCGGACCCGGGCTGGCCCAAGTCGTCGAAGGCCTTGTAGAACAGCCAGAAGACGCAGGGGGCGATGACGCAGCCCATTGCGGTGCCGATCACCTGGCTGATGAACATGGAGCGAGGCGAGGCGAGCGTCATGTAACCAGTCTTGAAGTCCTGCATCAGGTCGGAAGCCGTGGAGACGATGTTCATGATGACGCCGCAGGCGGCCAGTCCGGCGAGGACTCCGCCGTGGGACGCCCCGACCCACGCGCCGATTGTGAAGATGGCGAGCTTGCCGTAGGTGGAAGCTAAAGACCAGTCGGTCAGCCCGGTGCCGTATGCGTTGCAGAAGGCGAGGACTGGCGCGACGATGTAGATGACGACGATGTGGTACCAGCTGAGCTGGTGGAAGATGTGGGGGACTAGGATGGCGGAGACTATGGCGATGGAGATGTAGCCGCCGACGGCGATCCAGATTGGGATTTGGTCCTTGAGGAATAGCTCGGTGCGTCTCTGTTCGTCGTAGGTCAGTGGTGGAGGAAGGGTTGTCGTTGTGGAGGATGTCGAGTTGCTGCCGCCGCCGGCGACGGGGAGAACGGTGGTGATGGATGGGTCTTTGCGATAGAACTGGTTGTATAACCCATGTATGGTTCGACTGAAGACTTTGATGAAGTTGTAGAGACCATCGCCGAGGATCATGGCAATGGCGATGAATATCTGAGGGGAAAAACAAGTCGAAGTTTTCCGGTTAGATTGCATATACTAAAAGATGAAAGTTCCGGTTCTACGTAGATTGAATCTAGGATTAGTTAGTTACCCTGTATCCTTGGAGGCCGGAGAGACTGCTCGGTGGAAGGTCAGCAGAGTACCAGTTGCCTTTCTGGTTATTGATTAGAGGCCACATGAGACCCCAGGATATTATTGCTCCGACTAGCAAAGATATGTTGACTAGATATGGACAGATCATTCCCACACCGACGTAAATGGTAGAGAAATCAAAGAAGAATCTGCATTGCAGTGATTATTATGATCACAAACTCAGACATTGAAATGAAGAAAACAAGCTTGGGAAGACATTATGGCAACATTGTATAGCTGGAGCAGAGAGATAAGAGGAGATTTTTTACTTGTGTTCATAGGCCTGGAGACCGAAAGTAGGGTAGTTCACAAATCCACAGCCATCCCCTGCCGTGAAGAACCATTGGAAGAAGCCCCACAGGAAGCTAAATGATAAGAATTTCCCCAATGCCCTGACTTGCTTCCTGCATTGTGAAGACGTGCCAGTTAGTAAGGCCCGACTGCTCGTTACATTGCAAAACAGAATAAGCAAGACAGGATGGAAAAGAGTGCAGAGGTCTCTCACTTGGCTAGCTTGGCACCCTGAGGAGTGTGGAAACTATTGATAAGGTGAGCAGTTGCAGTGCCACTTGGATAGGTCAATTTGAAGTCTACCACCATAATCTGAATCATTAACACAAATATACAAGTTAAAACAAACAACCCAATTTCTGTTCTAGTGTAACCCTGGCCTTTCTAATTAGAGAAGCACGATTGCATGAAGGATCTGTTAAGAGATTGGCAATAAAAACACATAAACAGTGCAAAAGTGCAGTTGATTCCAACCCTTCTGTTAGGATTGCATAGCCAATGATAGCATATAGACCAAAACTGAGTCCATTTCCAGATCATGACACGATTGCTTAGTTAGAGCTACTTTGGATTCATCACTAATTTGGTAGGCTTATGTGATGAGGATAATAGAACGTATCTCATCAGAAGTCTACAGCGAATGAGACTCGAAACCGAAGAACCATATTTGAGCAAATGGAAAGTTACCTTTCTGAGAGGAACCACAGAGAAAAGGCCAAGAAAGCTGACTACAAAAAGGAAGCCAATCATCCATCCCAGAGATGGTTCTTTGATATTCTGAGCGCTGTTGGCTTCTTTGGATTGCTTGGCAACTGTATCACTCATTCCAAATAGGTAACTTCCAAAACCACCTGCATCAGCCATAACAAACTCTCAAGAACACAAAATCAGCCCCCTGGCAGTAATAAGAACCACATCAGAGTTCCTCCAAAATTTCGCCTCTCATTTCCACAAAGCTCAGATGAATTTAACAAGCAACATCGATTTCCTAGCAGGAGAAATAACTAGAGGAGGTTTCTTCTCTAGAGATTCGCTACCATGATCACATCAAAACTACTTCGCCGCCGGTTAATGCTACCGACTGACCACAACAATTTCTCGGTAATCGTTGCAATTTCGCAGAATGAACAGGAACACAAAGATTAACTCAATTTGGCTCCAACAAGCAATTCAATCGCCATTTCATTTCCGAAAACAGCAAGATCAGTACGAAAGCAAGCAGTTAATTAAAAAAAGAGAGAGAAAAGGCAGGAGCGGTTACCGCTGAAGGCGATTCCGGAAGTGGCGACGACGCAGGTCTGAATGACGGTGTTCTCCTGGCGAGTGAACGGCTGCTTGAGCATACCGGACTTCTGAAGCAGCTTGGTCCAGGTCTTGACGAAGAAGAATCCGAGCAATCCGGCGGAGACGTTGAGCGACGGGATTATACCGGTGGTTAGATTGAGCTTCATGACGATGAAAGTGAACAGAACCCCTAGGATGAAGCTAACGACGAACGCCCTGACCGTGAGCTGCTTCTGCCACGGCGGCACCTCCTTCGCCTCGAAGATCTTCTCCACTGATTCCAGCTCCAATTCCATAGAAGACGACATCGTCTTGCCAACCTTCCTTCTGCTCGCCGTCGTCGTCTTCTCCTCCACTTCGTCGGCGTAGTAGCTATCTTCTTCCCGGCCGCCGCTGAAGTTTCTCGCAGTCGCCATTTTTTGGGATCTACGGTGGGAGAGAAATCGGAGCGCTCTGGTTTGCCTGTGTATTTATATCGCAGTTCCGCGTGTCTTAAATGTTGGTTACTTCAGGGGCATATACGGAAAAGACGCAGAGATGTAATGTAAAGGGATTCAGATGGATGAGATAATAAAAAAATGGGCGAGATCCGTAATTTTCCCATGGATTTGGAGTGTGGGGGAGAATGATAATGGACGGATTATTGGCCACCTAGAATTCGAACCCAAGGTCCGGTTAGTACGGTTCAACCGTCAAACCTTTTTTAAATTACGGAAATAGACAGACCACAGTGTGGGTGTGATTTGTAATTTGTCTGCAGAGAACCAGCAATGGGCCAATGGCGTCATGCAGGCGCCAGCCGGCCTTTCCGATTTGATTGACCGATGAAGTGGCGTTTTGGACATTTTGCCCTTTTTGCTTTTTGCTTTGCTGCCAGCCATAACTGTTGACTAAACGAGTGACGGGCTCATAGCACGTGTAATTTGATTTCATAATGCAAATCCGGGCCAATTACCTGAATGACCACCGAACTTTTTGAGGAACCAAGTTCCAGTACCCCACTTTTACTAGATAATATGCTAGCATTTTGATTAATTAATTAACGTGAAATTTGGAATAACGAACATAATTGCAACTACGTCCATCCATAATTCCATATCCAATCTTTGTGGTGTAGCTTCCTAGCTGGTAGCTACATAGTTCTATCATATATTCACTATTTATGTTAAAAAAAATCGATGACGTGTTATCTTTATAAAATTAAAAAAATATATATAAGTCATCCCAGAAGAAGATGTATGATTTTCGTACATATGCTAATAACTCAAAGTGCATGTATCAATTCCAAACATTACTTATAAGACCATTAATCACATTGTGATTTTTGTGTCCGAATGCATGCTCGATGAAGCAAAATACAAAGCAAGAATAAAATAATGAATGGGAACACGAGAAAGAAGGATTTGCAAATGATAGTGGTATCTATCTATCTCTATAATGTATCTACTTGAGTGTTGACTTGGAAAAATGTTGAAAATGCTGCTGGAGTTATGAACTTGAATGCACAGGAAGAAGAAGCTCAAAGAGGTTCTGGCAATCAGCTTCAGCAGCATCTGCAGAGCGTTTCAGCAGTGCATCGAAACGGGAATTGGGCTTGAAGACGATTCGTTGTTATGGGGAACGTTTCGTGACTTCGCCCATCTCCTAGTTAGCACGGCGTCGTATTTCTTTTATTTCTGCGTTTTATGTTTTGAGTGCTGTTAGTTTTCTGCTGTCCTATCGCTGTTGACCACCTGTCTCGGTTAAACAGTGAATCTGGAAATTACCGTTGTACGGTCGTTATGTTTGAATATAAATATCAGAGAACCCAGCTGTGAGAGAGCTGAGGATTCCACCTTCGCCATTTCTTCTCTTCTTCCCTAAACTTTCTACATGGTATCAGAGCATTGAAGAGCGATGGCGGATCAACAAACACCTCCAAATACAAATCGATCAACGTCTGGTGGCAGTGGCGTCTCCGGCGCTATCCCATTCAACTTTGGAAACTTTGGAACGAACAACAACACTGGAGCTCAAGCCAATACCTCCAGATCTGGAAATGGCGGTCCTCTTGATCCAGTTTTCGGTAATCCCTATTACATCAATCTGAATGAAAATCTGGCTCAATCGATCGTTCCAATTGTTCTTGAAGGGCCAAACTACCATATGTGGTCTCGAGCCGTGAAGGCTGTTCTCAAAACCAAGCAGAAATTGGGTTTTATTGATGGAACAATTCCAGTTCCAGATCGCAACAGTGATATGTTTAATGTTTGGGATGCAAACAATACTATTGTGCTGTGTTGGATCAATAACTCTTTGAGTAAGGAAATTGCTCGTAGTGTGAAAACCCATGAGAATGCACAGATTCTGTGGAACGAGCTTAGAACTCGTTTTGGGCAGGCTAATGCCATCAAGTTGTCCAACCTAGAAGATGAGATTCATGCTTTTAAGCAGGGTAACCTGAATGTGACGCAGTATTACACTCATCTGAAGGGTTTATGGGAGGAGTTCAGCCAATTCAATCCTATTGTTCCATGTCATTGTGCTCCTGGAAATTTGAATCCATGTACTGCAGTAGAAGCTTTCAGGGAAAAGCAGAATACAGCTTACCTCATCAGGTTTCTCAAGGGATTGAATGACGAATATGGGTACATCAGTACCCAATTGCTCATGATGCAACCACTCCCATCAGTGGTTACTGCATTTGATCAGTTGCTGCAGCACGAGCAGAAATTGAAGGCTGAAGGAGCTGTTGGGAGTCAGAAGAATGGGCAGTCAGTGGCTCTTGTTGTTGGAAATCCAGGACCACCTGGTAAGGGAGCAGGGAAGTATGAACAAAAACATGAAGGAAGGCATGAAGGAGATGGACAAGGATTGTTTTGCAATTACTGTAAGAAAACAAATCATGTCATAAAAGACTGCTGGAGGCTTAAGAAGAAGAGACAGGATAAAGAAGCTGCATCTGGAAACAGATTTGCAGGATCAGTAGGGCAACAATCTGGCAGTGAAGACAGTCAGGACTCTGAAGGACAACTACATATTGACACTAGTAGTGCTCAATCTCACACTGGTGGGTTCACACTTGAAGAAATGAATAAGCTAAGAAGCTTATTGCAGTCCTCTAATCCCACCTCACCTACATCTCCTCAGAGTCCAGTCATCAACCACAGATCCCATTCAGTGACCAAGTACATGCCTAAGTTCCCTTCTCACTCAGGTAAAGTTGTGCTTTCTTCTCATCAAATGGTTGCCAATAACAGATTGTCTTGCTCATGGATTTTAGATACTGGTGCATTAGACCACATAGCATGCTCTCTTTCTTTGTTTTTCACTTCTGTTCCTGTGTCTGATGTGTTTGTGTATCTTCCTGATCGATCCAAAGTAGCAGTTAGCCATATAGGTTCAGTCAAATTATCCCCTGACCTATATCTTCACAATGTGCTCCTTGTACCTAGTTTTACCTTCAATCTTGTCTCGGTCAGTAAGCTAACTCATGATCTTCCCATCTCACTCCTTTTCCAATCTTCCATTTGCCATATCCAGGACCTCATCACAACCAAGATGATTGGTTTGGCGAAAGAAAGTAAAGGCCTATACTATTTCATTCCTCCAGATCAAAATCCCAGCCTATCTACATCCAGCTCATCTACCACCCACATTGCTTCTGTTTACAACTTTGAATCACAGAAGATTGACCTCTGGCATTGGCGCCTAGGACATCCCAGTTTTTCTAGATTACAACTTCTTTCCAAATGTAATCCAGACATTCCTTTAGAACAAGTCAAACATTGTCCACATTGTCACTTGTCTAGACAGAAACGGTTTCCATTTCCTTTAAGTTCCAGCATTGCTCCTGATGTATTTGCACTAATTCACGTGGATATTTGGGGTCCATTATCTATTCAATCTCATGATGGTTTTTCTTATTTCCTCACTATTGTTGATGATCACTCTCGAGCTGTTTGGGTGTATCTAATGAAACAAAAATCAGAAGCCAGATCTTTATTGACTGGTTTTTGTTCTATGGTTCAGAACCAGTTCTCAAAAACTGTTAAAATAGTGAGGAGTGACCAGGGCAAGGAGTTTTCCATGTGTGAATACTATCTGGAGAAAGGAATTGAACACCAAACCTCCTGTGCTTATACACCTGAACAAAATGGGAGGGTAGAACGCAAACATCAACATATTTTGAATGTTGCTAGAGCTTTAAGATTTCATTCAGGTGTTCCTCTTGAATTTTGGAGTGACTGTGTGCTTCATTCTGTTTACTTGATTAATAGACTTCCTACAGCAATACTACAGAATAAATCACCCTATGAAATTCTGTATAAACAGCCTCCTTTCTTAGGCAATCTCAAGGTGTTTGGTTGTCTTGCCTATTCTACCACTCACTCTTCAGGTAGAACTAAACTAGATGCACGAGCACAGCAATGCATCTTTCTAGGTATTCCAGTTGGAATCAAAGGCTATAAGCTATTTGACTTGAACTCACATCAATTCTTGATCTCTAGAGATGTTGTCTTCTACGAAGACATCTTTCCTTTCAAACAACCTCACACAGAAGAGGGTGTTGGAAATGATAATGATCCAGTCATTCCAACACCAATTGCTTCTGATGTTCCAGTTAGGCTTGTCAGTAGTCCTCATGATAGCAATCCTGGTCATGTCAGTAGTCCTGCCTCAAATATTCCTTCTACTTCCAGCTCATCAGATAGTAATCCAAGTCATGTCAGTAGTCATTTTCCTTTGAATCAATCTAAGTCTGTTACTTGGTCTGATGCATCATGTTCTAATGACATGGTAAGTATATCTGATCATATTGATGAAGTTGAAATGGAAGTTGAAGAACCTGAGATTGAACAGCTAGAAGAGCATGAGGCTGAACCACAAGTAAGAAGAAGACCATACAGGGAGATCAACTTACCAGCAAGGCTTAAGGACTATTATCTCAATACTGTCAGTCATTATCCTTTGTCTGATTGTATTGGGTATGATTTGCTTACAGCAGAAGCCAAGGCTTATGCCCTGAGCATTATGAGTGAATTTGAACCTTCTTCTTATGAAGAGGCCAGTAAGGATGAATGTTGGATTAGGGCAATGAATGAAGAACTACAAGCCCTTTTGGATAATGAAACATGGGAGATTGTCATCTTGCCTCCAGGAAAGAAGGCCATTGGTTGCAAATGGGTTTTCAAAGTGGAACTGAAACCAGATGGCAGCATAGAAAGACATAAAGCAAGGCTGGTAGCAAAGGGATTCACACAGATATATGGAGTGGATTTTCTAGATACATTCTCACCAGTAGCAAAGAATAATTCTGTTAAAACCTTGTTGGCTGTAGCAGCTGCTAAGGATTGGAATCTTCATCAATTAGATGTTTCAAATGCCTTTTTACATGGCGACTTAGATGAAGATGTTTATATGCAACTCCCACCAGGCTTTCCTATTGAGGGAAACACTACTGGCCTAGTCTGCAAGCTAAAGAAATCACTATATGGACTTAAGCAGGCTAGCAGACAGTGGTTTGCTAAGCTC